ATCAAGTGGGTTTTATCCCTTTTGTTCCACGTGTTTCTATATGAACATGGAGATGTTTTGGTCAGGTAAACCAACAATCAAAATCCATGCTATTCAGGGTTTTATGTCGTTTTGTGTTTGTGGACTAATCTGGTAATTGTGTGCAGTGTAATGAATGGAGTTTGAGCATAATGGGCTCCATTTTCCAGTTCAAATTCAAGTAGAAAGCCGGGGAGCTCAGCGTGAAACAGAGGGTTTCTGTAAAACGTGGTTAAATATTGAATGTCAGGACAATTTCATTAGGGGTTGAGTTCAGCTCTCGGCTTGATAATGAGGCATCATTTTTGAGTCTTTTAAAAGGTCAAGATCTGATGTGCAAACTGTGTATCAGTACCTCCACCAACCCTTGTAATATCCTCACAAAGATGACACATCCATAGTGCGCCCGGGCGGCGGAGGGAATGAACATGTTCAGGGTGGATGTCAGCACGATGGCAGCCCCAAAAACTCTGGGTAAACAGTGTGTTGGGATTATTTGTCAAAATATTATCGAAACAAGATCATCATCTAATTCAGCCAGAAAAACAGCAGCAACATTCATCAGATTCAAGTAGGTCATAGAGATTTAAACAATCATTAAATAGAAAATAGTCTGCAGAACATTACAGTATATTGTATAATTCTTTACTACATATCGGAATAATAAAGACTGAGGGGGAAGATAAATCAGCGCTAATTGGATGCCACATACACACACACACACACACACACAACAGGCAGTTATTCAGTTTCCAGGGGAGTGAGGACAGGAGGTGTTTGCAGCAGAAGGCGTCAGTGGGCTCAGCTGACTTGGCATGATGAAGCTCTTCATCTTGCATCTTATTTAAGCTCCATTTCCCGCACGAAGAATCTCTTTCACAGTCCTATAATGTTAATATAGAAGGACTGTGACCTTACACTACTGTATCTCCTCCTGTAGTATCACTGTTACATTTACATGCTTTCCTCAAAAGGACTTTTGTTGTCATCATTATTTTTTTCTACAGTTTTTACAGACTAATTGTTCTCTGCTGCACATGTGCTCTGTTCCTTTAGTCTAACTGTAGCTGACTAATCAGTTGCTAGTGAAATAATGTGCTATAGATGCGGTATGGCTATTGAAATCATACTACAATCATTACTCAGAGGCGCATTGCACACGGGGCTTTGGCTGGTGTGGTTGCCATGCCTCTGAACATAAAGGATTAGACATGGTTGTCCCGTGGGAGCTCATTAACATGAGGAGGCACGCCTGGCGGGCATCAGCCAAATCCCCACTTTATCTGCTGTGAGGTCACACTCCTTTCTTCAAGCCCATCACACACATCCATAAGACTGACCAGCACAAATATTACAACCAGATTTTCATTTTAAGAATACAATAGAAACGTGTCCACCAAGGGGGCAACCAATATTTCTTCATCACACTCTACCACATTATTTGTTCATAGTTTGTTTAATAATAATAATTTGAATAATAATAGCTTTTACCTGTTTGCAGCCAGCCTTGAGGAGATGTACCCTCCTGGAATCTGAGTAACTATGTAGCCCCAGAAGAAGGAGCCATGAATCATCCCCACAGTCTCTGGGTCCCAGTTGAATTTCGCTTTCTTTCAGACACAGAAAAATAAAAATAAAGACAAATTTAATTCCATTTTACTTCCGGTAAAATAAATAAATAAATAAATAAATAAATAAATAAAACAGGCGTAAAATAGGCTATTGATATAAAATTGCTGAGAGTGAAATTAAAGAGCCTCTTTTCGAAGTGTGAAATATTGTCAGTGGACGATCATTTCATTTGATGCTGTAATACTTTCGCAGCTACAGTTAAATAAGGTGATAAATCAACTAATAAAGCAGAAATAAGCAGATATTCAAGAAAAGTGTGAATAATAATAATACAACCTACATCAATTTGCTTCTGTTTATAATATAGAAGCCTATAGGCCCATCTCCTGAATTACAATTATTATGGTGAAATTAACTACATTGGGGTTTTCCATGTTTTCACTCTATGGGCTATGGCCCTCATCACCTATCAAACACAGGGGGGGAGGGCGGGGTTTACGTGCACCTCTTTGATGATGATCTTGCCGTTTTGATGGATCGTGTGGTTATTGACCATGCTGACGATGGCCACACCCAAGTTACACCGGATACCGAAGGAGATGCAGAAGCCGAGCCCGCTCAGCATGGCGATGATGTATCTGCGCGGGAGCCCGAAGCATGTGCAGTCACACAGGGGCGTCTTCCTCTCCTGGTCCTCCCTGGGTCTCCCATCCTCCGTCAGCTCGATCGCCTCACCTGTTTGCTGCCGCTTTTCAAGCTTCCTGCACCACAAGCCGTTTAGATGCTCTTTATATATTTTATATGCTTTTTTATTTCATTTTATTTTTTAGGTTTTATTAGGGGTTTATGAAATGAAACATCGAGGCAGGTTGAGCTGCCTTTAAAAGAAGAACCACCAGTGGGAAATATAACCTGTGATTTCGTTAATTTTCTGCAAAAACAGCAGGAATAAATCTACTCACATTATACTCACATACATCCTTCAGACTATTTGCAGCTTCCTCGTAGAAAACGAGGTCCCATCTTTGCATTGGTCTTTCAACCACAGGCCTTAAATCTACCTTCATTTTGTTCCTCTCATTAGGCACAGGCCCCTTAAAGCCTGCGCCGTTTTATTTCTACTCAAACTGTGTTTTTTCCCCCTTCGTTCTCCGCTGAAATTCTCCATGTCTCTGTATCAGAAAAACGCTGGTTGGCAAACGAAGAGAAAATGACCTTCATACCGCATTGCAGCAACATCAGCATCATCGTTGTTTGGAGTTCATTTTGCTCCTTTTTTTTATTTCTGATTCGCTCTCATCAGTGAGGTGTTGGCATTTTTGCTTTTGGCGGCTGGCACTCGGAAATTTGTTCATAAAAAATAATAATAATAATTGAGCTTCATTTAAAAATCTAACATTGAAATGTGAAGGCCTCGTCCAGTAAAGCATCAGGCCTGCTACACCTCAAATGAATCCAACACATTTTTTTTTTGTCACAGCTTTGAGTCACGTTTCTGTGATGCACCTCGCAATCAAGTTCAACAACTGAGAGGCATTTCAGCACCAAAAAGAATCAACAAAAAAACTCATTATCATCTAAAATATTTGTAGCCTAATTGGGAAATGCTTCGTGTTTTCAGATTTTCTGCTTTAATATTCAAAAACTGATCATTTTTATTCGCAAATGCAATAAGAATTAAAACAATTCAATTTTATACAAATGAAAAACACCTAGCTTCCCCTGCTATGACTTTAAAACGAGGATGTGTTTGCTTTGCTCTGCAGTCAGTCATCCGGCTTCGTTCAGCTCCTTGTGACACTATAAAGAATATAAGGAAGTCTATTGCTATGAAGTCCATCGATCTTGAATTAATACAGATGGATACATAAGGTAATAGATATCCTCCGACCTTGTGTCACGACTCGCTCTGTTTCATTAATTATTAAAAAACACCCACAGCTGCTGGTGGAGGGGATCATTCTCCAGGGAAATATCTGATCCTTAAATATTCGGGCCACACGACTCTGCTTCCAGCGTCCTGTCCGTGATCCAGCTCATAAAGACTGAGATTTCCCCCGTGATTTCATTTTAATTCAGGAATAAGCACATTTAAACATAGTGAATTTTTTTATAGGTGTCATCATCATATATGGATATTTTCTGTGTTTAATTTCTGACTGCAGATCTAATTATATGATTAAAATACATAAATGTTCATTTCTTCTTACCTGTACAGATTCCCGAGGGCCTTTCCTGCGATTTGTTTTATTCCCTCTTTAGAGGTGGGGACAGCTTTCTCCTTGCCTGGCTCCATATCCAAATTGTCTTTTTTTTATTCTATAATACTATAACAAATGGAAGTGCAGCATTAATGCGCATATTGTTGAGATATTAATCCAAATAACGCGTCTCTTTCTTTGAAACAGAAAACGTCTCGGTGTCCTGAAAAGATGAGCCGATGAAAGAGGAGAAAGACGCTCAGTCTGAAAGGGCTGCTTTCACAGTCACAAAACAGCAGTCAAATAAGTCCGCTTCTGCCTTGCGCAATGTTAATCCATGCAGTGCCATTTTAAGATCCAGCCAGCGATTAGGAAAAAGAGACAAACTGAGTATAAAAAAAAAAAAAAAGTGAATTATTTGGTTAAAATTGTGCGAGGACTCAAGGACGGAGATGTGAAAAGCTTCTTAAGCCGGCGGAGGTCAGCGGAGCTCCGGTCTAATCTGAGGTGAGGATCTCCGGTGAGGCTGCAGCCGGAGCAGGCTTCAGCACCGCGGACAGCGCACAGCTCGTCTACCTGTCAGCAGCTCCTCCCTCCCTCCCTCCCTCCCTCCGCTCCCACCTCCTCTCCTCTCATTCAATTACTGCTCAAAAAAAAACCTGTTAACGGCGACAACTGTCTACAGCCGGACCCGTGTCCTTCACTCTCATCGAGCTGAGTTGAAAATTATTTCAGGTTGAGCTCCGACCACTTATAAATCACTTGCTGCAGCAGGCACAAAGCAATGACCCCCCCTCCCCTCCCCCCACATCACCCACCCCACCCCACCCCCTTTACATCCGGTTACTTCTCGGTTTACAGACTGTTACAACAACAGGGACACATTTTCAAAAAATATTTATTTTCACTTAATTTAATTAGCTGTGAATTCGGATATTTTTTTAAGAAATAAAGAAAGGCCTTATATTCACAGCAAGTGTAAAGTAGAGTGTGCAGTCAGCCACGCAGAGGCAGTGTTGTGAAGGAAGTTGAGGAGACCAAACCTCAACTGACATGAGATGAGATAAGAGACTGGAAACCATTGTTACAGTGGATTCGTCTGATTCTGTCAATCAAAGAAAACAGCTGATTAAATAAAGAACATACAAAGGGTTTCTATACACCTTCATAGTAGACACGTAGCCTACAGGTGATTAACGTTTCCACAGCTCATTGGGATCCAGATGCAGGCAGTGCGCACACGGGTGTAACAGTGGACATCCCCTGCCTCTTCCTCACCGTCATCCGGGTCCGCTTGGATATGAGAGAGGCCACCTGCATGCCTGGACACTGGGAAAACATGAGAGTAAACGTGTAGTGAAAATCTTCTCGGAACTGGCGGCCTATGAAGCAGCTGAACAGAGGGTTGACGCAGGTGATGAGGCTGCAGAAGCACATCTCCAGGGCGAAGGCCAGGTCTGGGGGCCCCCAGGAGGCGTGGTCGTCTGGGTAGACTGCCCGCATCACGACGGCGGCGTTGCGGCTCAGGTGGTAGGGCAGGTAAAACAAGGCGAAGAGAACCAGCGCTGCGCTCAGCACCCGCCGGAGCCGGCGCTGCTTGTGGTGCGGGCCGGGCCTGCGGCGCAGCTCTCTGACGCTGCGCAGGCCGCAGTAACAAATGGAGAGCAGCGGGAAGAGAAAGGCAACGGTGGAGCAGAAGATGGAATAGGGGAGGCTCTCCCCGGTCTCACTTAGCAGTACGTACAGGGTACAGACCGTGCGGTTGCTCCCAGGGCAAGTCTGGATAATAGTCATTCTGGCAACAGGTATGCTGAGGACCAGAGTGGCCGCCCACACCGCCGCACACAGCAGGCACGTCTTCCTCCGGCCCAGCAGCACCAGCGAGCGCAGCGGGTGCACGATGGCCAGGTACCGGTCCACACTGACGCAGGTGACGAAGAAGATGCTGAGGTAGAAATAGTTGTGGTAGAGCATCCTGACAGCTGTGCAGAGCGGCAGCCCCAGCCTCCAGTAGAGCCGCTCCAGATGGTAGTGGATGAGGAAAGGTAGGGCCAGCAGCCAGGCGGTGTCAGCCAGGGTCAGGTTGAAGAGGAACACCGTGCTGCGGGTCCAACGACGCAGGCGGTGGAAGTAAACCCAGAGGGAGAGCAGGTTGAGGGGAAGCCCGAGGATCAGCACCGCCAGAAAGAAGGACGGCATTACATAGAGCTGGACCACCGGTAAACCCTGATGTGTGTCCAGGTCGCAGAGGGCTTCCTCTGGAGGCTGCATGTTCACGGGCACAGAGGTTCAGCTTGGGAGTTTTCACACTCAGTGCTATCTAAAGACAGTTTCCTGCCTGATGTTATAAAGTAAACTTTTCTTCATCTAAAGCTTCATTTATAGATTGGGCTTTAGTTCACTAAACAGAAAATAGTGACATGTATTTAACATCATAGAAGAAAACACTAAACTTAAACCATCCTTTGCCTTCAGAAACTACTTTTTGCTGTTCCGTAAATCTATTTTTGTCTGATAGATAAAATGTTCAATATCACAGTGAACCTCTTCAACCTACCTGGACCTGAGTGTTGCCCATGTCTTTGTTACGGTGGCTTAGCAGTGTGCCAAGCGCAAGAACCATGCCAACATATTTTGGTGTAAAACACACCCACCAAAGTGAACAAACACTGCATAGTTATCAGTGTTCTCTCAGGCCATCTGTTATGTGAACAGCATCTTTCATGTCCTCAGCACAGGAGCAACAACTACTCAAGTTGAACTGGTACTTTATTTTGGAGAATTGTCTTTGTTGCATTACACGTTTGGGATATAGGACAATTGGAAAAATTACAGAAGAAAATAAATGAAAACATGAAATTGTAACTTTAAGCATACAGTAAACAGGTTCCCCTTTTTCATGTTTGGTAACAGTATAAAATAAAATATTACTACAACATGACGAAAGAGGATAGACATAAGAAAAAAGTTAATTTAAAGGAGATGTACAAAGAAATAAAAATAAAAGACAAAGTAATTAGATGTATTAAGGCATCAATAGGCATCAGTTTAGCTAAGCGCCGGCCATGAAAAAGGCAAAGTGGAACAGTCCAACATTTCTCTCAGCTGAAGTGGTCACATCTACACACATCTCAAACCAACATAAGATTTAGAGTTTGAAGCACAACCAATCAGTTATTTTACATAAAATTCAAATACTTCAACACTACTCACATATTTCTGTGTATGCAGCTTAATTAACATGAAATATCCTGATATAATCTCAAAACAAAAAACTACATGTTTCTCTACGTTGGCATTTAAGCTCAATATAAATATCAAAACCAGAACAATGAACTTCTTACGACAGTACAACTGTTGTTCCATTTAAATCAACAAAGACTATCACACATTGCTGCTTGAAAACACTGATTATGAATAAGTAGTTTCAGGACAACAAATAGACTGACATGTTTATGCCTTGGTAGTCAGCTTTCATTAAGTGCTTTGTGCAAAATAAAAAAAAAAGAATGTGTATCTTTCCTTCTCTACACAGACACAGCTGAGGGAACCAGAAGCATGAGAACTAGGCGATGGCTGATGTGCTTTGTGTAATGGAGCAAACATAGTTGAGTAGGTGGGGGCAGGCTTTCATTAGCGCCAATGTGTTGGTAAACAGAGGCACATTAAAAAGTGATCTCTTCACTCACACTTCCCATCTCCAGGAACAAGTCAACAGTCAACATGCACCAGCTGCTGCTGCTGCTGCGTCTGCTCAACAACTGGCCATTGCAGGACAAACTCTGCCCTTACTCACAGTGGTAACAGCAGCACAGGTTTCTCTTCATAAAAACCTACTTCACATGTCAGGTTCTGTCCTGGAGCAACTGTCGGGCTGTTATGAGATCCTAGCAAAATGTGACCAGGCCTCTGAACAGCCAGTGGAGCGAGGACAATAATTTGGTAAAAGTGTGTTACATCCTTGCCATGACCTCAATGCTGTCAAATAAACAATGCTCACATTTGTTGCAGTAAAAACAAAATAAATCGAGTTGAACGTAAACTTACAGTACATGACAGTGGAACCGTTCATATCGCTGTACATATAAACAAAGAAATATCCAAACCGGAATACAAGCAAGATCTCATTTCCAAATAATATTGTTATTCTACTGGCAGATACAGAATATCAGTGATACGTGTGTGATATATTAAGGCATCCAGTCTTTGGTTACTAATGGTGGCACTTAAATAAATAGTCCTATATGAAAACCAGACCAAATTGTCTGGTTTAGACACAGTGTGTAAGATTTCCTCTTTCTTTCCTTACAGAAAATTTTGATTATCCTCAGCACTATAAGGACAACATAGAGAGTGAAAAGCCATAAATATGAGACAGACATTTAAATTCAAGTGCCTGGAGTTTCAGCATGCATGGAGACTTGCTCTTTCACCTGTGTGCACTTCCACTATCAGCAGATTAGTAGAGAAAGGATGGCTGTGAATTAAGGAAGCCTCTAGTTCTTAATAAAGGTTGTTTGTATGTGTTTGCTGCACAAACAACTCAGGCACTGCAGCAAAGAGATGCTCAGTATCACAATACACAAGCAGGGCATCATGTCCAGCTGATTGACCAGCGGCTCGCTGGGCTAGAGACACTCTGACAGCACCTCATGTTGGGGCAAAGATGGATAGATCATGGGCGTGCAGGTACAGTCATTGTTGCCGTTATGGCTGAGTTGGACCTTCAGCTTCTCCACTTCGTAGTCATGGAGATACTCCTGGACCAGGTAGCGCTCTCTCTTTACTCGAGCCCTCACATCAGAGGGAACATCTGGGATCATCCAGGCTACGAAGAACTTGACAGAGAACACAACATGCTGAGGAGGAAAGAGCACAACAGGTAAATGTTAAATATTTACTTTAAACTCAGAGCTGCAGAAGCAACACTGCATGGAATCAGGATATGTATTATATATGGAAAACAGGTGTGAGGGATGATAAGGGGTTACTATTACAGTAATGTAACAATCAAATACAGTCCAATGTAAGAATCTGAGACTCAGTTCAAGTGGTCAGTAAGTGTTGGTGGTGCTGGTTTTACCTCCATGATAATGATGAAAGCCAGCTTGGCAGCCAAAATATGCCAGAACTGCATAGTGTGGGAGTACGGCTTCTCATGGCCAGGCGGATTGCGATAATCACGATACCTACAAAGAAAGAACACCAGAGCCATACAGTAAATGACCTGCAAACTTTTACACTTATTTCACTCAATGCACACAGTATTAACCACACAACATTTAAATCTCAAGTTAAATAGTGATTTAAGTGAAGGGGTTTGCTAAAATTACAGCTGTGCTGTATTTATCAGGCTTCACTGCATTAAAATTCTTAGCTAAACTTACATTTTAACGCATTCATGATAATAACTAACTGATGTAATATATTTAGCACTCAGAAAGGGGCCCTTCTTTGTAATGAATACTTACACTTTTGATACTTTAAGTACATTTTGCTGGTAAAACTTACAGTACAATCTCTTTAACTAGAATTCTGAAAAAAGCCTTTTACTTGTAACTGATGTTTTTCAACAATGTGGTGTTTCTTTTACTTAAGTAAAGGATCTGTGTACTTCTTACCCCACAGCTATACTGTATATAAACAGAACGCACATCATCCACCTTTTTACATCCACACTCTCTCTTTCTCTCTCACACAGAGCCTTACACTTCACACACACACACACACACACACACACACACACACACACACACACACACACACACACACACACACACACACACACACACACACACACCTGCAGGTAGTGATGGAGCTGTTGAACCAGGAGGGGTTCTCCCCTTCCTCAGGGCTGTTGGCCAGTGGGATCTCAGAGATGTTAAACACTGACAGGCTGTTGTTTATGTAGCCTTTCATATTCATCTCACCCTGTGGTCGGTAGGCATACATGTACACGAGCCGAGGGATCATATCAGAGGTGAAGGCCACAATGAATGCCTAGAAAGCAGGGAAAGAAATGATGTGAGGAAGACTATAGATAAAACTGGGTAGATCATGAGCAGGCACACATCATATGGATTTAATCTAGCACTCACATTTGTGACAACAGAGAGGACAGCAATCCCACTGAGGATTTCCTCCCACGCTCCGATACTGTGGGCCTTGGCTGCCACGGGACGTCTGAACTGAGTGGTGAGCTTCCAGGCATCCACTCTAACCTCAATGATGTTGTTGATAAGTGCCAGCAGTGGTGCCAAGGGGAAGGAGGCAACAAAGAGTGTGATGAAACCAAACTGGATCACTGGGACGCAGAGAGGAGAGGTTAGTGAGAGACAGTATGACGGAAACAGCTTCATCTGCAGGACATCAGAGGACACTGCATCTATCTATCTATCTATCTATCTATCTATCTATTGCTCTATTATTAATCTCTTTTTACTGAAGTTGAATTTGAATGTAATTTTAAGGATTTCAATTTGAAATTAGTAAATGTTGTACTGCAGTATTTACACAGCACAGTTTAGTATTTAAACAGCTTAATACTGATTTTTGTTTTGGTTTAGCTCTAGGCCTGGTCCAAATTCAAATTTAACCTGGTCTTGGTAGTGATTAGGACTCCACCCTGGTGGTCGTAACTGCAGTCTTATTTTCAAGCGTGTCTCTAAATCTCTCCCTGAATGTAATGTTTAGACTGTGTGACGGATGTTTACCCATTTCCAAGTACTCGTAGAAAAGGCCCAGCTGCCCAAAGCCCTGCAGGTCGTGGTCCTGCTCCCAGCGGCTGTACAGACTCTCTGGGTGGTTTCGTGCCTTCCTGCTGCCCCACCAGTTCATCAGCCACCTGAAGGACACAGGAGGGGGGTAAAGAGCTTTGAGGCGACATGACCACAACCGCATGACAGCCACAATACAGCTGTATTGAAATGCTAACAATGGCTATAAACCACATTCGGTTGGAGTACTCACGGGACCAGAGCCTCTTGGATGTTGCCCCACACCTGTTTACCGGTCATCACTATCACCAGCTGGGTGGTCAACTCAATCAGACAGCCACCAGGGTCACACTGAATGTAGGCAGGTTGAGGTAGAAGAGGGATGGGAAAGAAACATGAGCTCAAATTTATGCTCGGGCTGAATTAGTGATGCTAATCTTATACAACTTAATGTAGTTATATCTGGTACCTCTTCATTCCTCAGTTTGCTCCAGTTGCCAAACATGTAAGTGTAATTTCCAGGGTGGCCGACAAACTTGCCCTTGAAGAAAGCCACGTAGAAGCAGGAGGAGTAGTAGTTGACAAACTGGAAGAGGAACATCTTCACCGTCAGTTTGTTCTCATACTCCAGGTGGGTCTTTGGAATTTCTGTCACATAGTAAAAAGTAATAAAAGATAGATTTTAAATACATAAACCAACTAATTTTCACAGCTTCAAGGACAGTGATGATATGCACTGATGTCTGGAGACACAAAGACTGGAAATGTAATAATTTTGGATACGTTCTGTCTCTTTGGCCCTCACCCATATCAGTGATCCAAACAGCCACTCTCTCATACATGAGGTTGAGGACCATGATGATGACAAAGTTGATGCAGGAGGCGGTGACAGAGGTGGCCAGCTGTGGCGTGATGTAGGGGCCAACCACCTGCAGGTTAGTGGTTGGACTGTCCTTCATGATGCTGGCGAAGGCCGCGTATACCGCCAAGCGGTACGCTATCACCCCAATAATGCAGGCAATGATCAATGAGATCTTCAGGACAGAGACAACAGTGACAACATGAAAGAAAACTACAAGGCACAGTAAGTCACAAGACAAAGGTACAGTGAGAACATCACACCAAAACACAGATACATATAAGCATAAACAAGGTGAATTATGGCCAACATAAATGTTAGAAGCAACTGTCAGGCTGAAAGTGTGCATGCATGCCCCATGAAAACACACCTACCACAATCTTTCCATTAGCTCATTCACAGGTGACAATTTTTTAATTACAAGAGAATACAACACTTATAGATTCTGGGCTGGTATGTGTAAAACTTTGGTTTTAAATGGGTCACAATTGATTAGAGATTAGATTAGATTATTTCAAGGGAGCTCCACTTCTTAAAAGTTTTACACATACTGGCCCTGGTCACATGATACTGTTCATTGTGATTAGGATGATGAACAGTATGATGAGAAAGACAAATGACACAGGGTGGAGAACAGGTAGAAGATGAAAGCAGCTTTAACTGATCAAGTGTACCAAAGATACTATGCTCACCCAGAACAGGACGGTGGCTCCAGATAGACACATGCGTGCACACTTGCTTGTTATGGGTAAGTACGGCTCCATTTCCTACATCATAAGCAAGCAAATAATGGACACAAGAGTCAGTAACCATTTGTTATATCCTGAAAAGACAGCTCTAAAAGGCCAGGTTCCTTTAATTACCACTAGCCTCAGATGAGAGACAGATCTAGTTTGACCAATCAGAGTTCTTTGTGTGTAGGCGTTTCGGCCTGGGTCCAATTCTGTCATCTAACAGTCGCCAAGTGAAGCCATGCTTTTGCAAAAACCTCTTGAAAGAGACTGATCCACAAAACAAAAAGTAACGTGATAGAGAAGGAAACTTGTGCCTCCAAGTCTTTCCAGATATCTCTGTTATCCACACAAATGACATCACACCAAAACCTCTCCCTCACCAACACTGGCAGTCCACATTAAATGCCACCCTTACCCAGAGGATCACTGTGGCCCAGCACAGAAACAATTTCCCCAATAGATCTGTAGCAGTCCTTTCAAGAACCCACTCCGTTTCCTAAAGACGGGGTGGATGTGGTCACAGCAAATTACAGCACCCTGCTTCCATTCATTTCAAGTCTGTGTCTGCCACTATCACTACCTACTCACTAGCAATGTAAATAAATGAATGTTTTTAATCAAAGAGTCTCAAACCAGCTTTTTAGTTCAGGAACTGGCATAATGAATGACTGCAACCAACCCAGTGTTTAGAACCTGTATCCAATAAATACAACAGATACTGTAACCTGTAATCATCAAGTCCTAACATACAGTATGTCTGCCTGCTAAAGCCTTGCGGAGGCTACACAGATGTAGAGCTGTACAATAGAACAGTATCATACAGTATATTAGTATGTCATGAGCACACAAACACCTGAGTGATGCGGTTCAGCTTGCGGTTGGTGCACTTGGTCTCGTACTCTGGCCGAAGCTGCAGCTGCTGTTGCTCCTCCTCAAAGTCGACCAGATCCCACTCATACTCAAGACGGGCCTGCCGCCTCTTCCAGAACTCCAGGAACAGCGTCACTGAAGAGAGATTTAACCCGCCACACCACGTGTATCATAGCAAAAATATTAACCTTGTTTTATTGTTTATTTAAATATAATTTTTCAGTTTCAAGTCTTTAATATTAGTGTGGTAGCAAAAGTGTCAGAGCTCAACACATGAGCAAATGAAACCAAAACTAAAAGTGAGAGGTGAGTTTTTTGGTTTTTCTTTTGTGATTGGATATACTGATCCCTTAAATACAAAGCAAGCAACAGTGATTATAAACGACTACTAGTAGTTCAACATTTCCCACTAGGTGGTGCACTGGGTCAGAAAATACACAATTCAAAGAGCAGACATTTTTACTCACCCCAAATCCCCATGAATATGGCAAAAAACACTGTTCCTACGTTGTCAAATAAGTGTGATTGCTGAAAGAAGAACATGTTTGAGAAATAGTGGGATAATGAAAGACTGAATTGTTAACATGTAGCTCCAACCATCCTTCAAATGGGGGCAGAACATGAAAACATGAAACATGAAAACATGAAAACATGAAAACATGAAAACATGAAAACATGAATCACGAACAAAATCAATGGGATGTCTCACCCATGAGGAGTTGCATGTTGAGTTGAGTTTCCAGTAGCCACACTTCTTGTCACACAGCGGGCACATGACAATGTTGCCTCCAATTTCCTCGCTACATATTTCTTTACTGTTGGGAAATGACGATTGTTTTCAATAAAAGGAACATTGATGTATGATGTAATACAAATAATAACTTATAATGCAATGACACACCAGGTTAGCATTCTTGTAAGACTCACCTCCACTCGTTGTCATCATAAGTGAGGAATCCGTGGACGAAACAAATTGTCCCTACTATTGCAGCAAAGAACAACATCTCAGTGTAGAAACCCAGCCACGCAAAATAAATACCTATCTTCTCTCCATAATACTTCCTGTTGAAGGGGGAAAAAAAAAAATTTCTTCATTTTAATTCTTCCTCTACCAGACTATTGTAGAGTAAATACACATCAGATATGACAACTTCATTTTCAGGTCTTGCCTAATAAGGTTGAGGGGCTGCTCCTTGAAGAAATAGAAGAATCTGGCCCAGTTTTTGTAGAGATTGTATCGCTCACTTTCGCAGTTAGCATCCCTTGATCTTTTCCAGTATCTACACTGCATGCACAGGAGAACACAGTTCACTAGCACATTCGTTACTTTACTCATCCTTGCATTGCAACATCCACCGCTGCCTCCAACAGGTTGTTACTGTTGGAAATCAATGAGTGCACATTTCATTAAAGACATGTGTCATACGTCTTTTTCCAATGATAAAAAAAAGTGGCAAAAGTTCACCAAAAGAGACTCACATCATGTAGGGGGAAGGCAGCAGTGTAGGTGCCATTGTTGAGTAACCTCTTGATTCCCTTCTTGTCTTTGTCCCCACATTCATCCCTGAAGTATGAACAGCGGGACAGGATATAGTAGACCTGGGCAGAGAGAGAAACAGAATAACAGTGTTTTGTTCTTCAGAAGCTTGGAAATTGTATGAATAAAAACTATAATGCAAAAATTAAAATATAAAGTTCCTTCTGTGTTCACAGACATTTTAAGATAACTTTTTAAAAATGTTACAAGGTTTCAGGCCTGCCAACAGAACTACAGCATACTGTAGTATTTCTAGCAACATCAGTTTTTCAATGTCAGGGGAATATTATAACAAGATAAGAAAGCCAGAGTCAGCATCCTTACTATCCTGTTGCGAGTGGAAGGGGGGAAGAATGTGTCTTTGTTGTCGATAAGGAAGAAGTCCGACTTGCTCTTGTTGAAAGGAGCTGTGAAATAGTCTGGCTCAGGGTGCATGATTTCCGCTGGCAGACGAAAAGGGGTGGACAGCCAGTTCATGGGCATGTCGCTGTTGTCTGGGATGTCGTTGGCCTTGAAGGGGACTTTGATCTTCAGTACATCTGCATACGTTGCCAACACTTCCCATGGAGCATGGATCTTCACAAAGTAAGTCTTTCCATCATCTGACTCCTGAAGATAGTGACAGTGAAAGAAGTGTCACAGTAAAATGAGTATAAGGCTAATGATTCATAAACTAAAATAATAATTCTGTAACAAAGGAGCATTCACAGGTTTATGTAAAATTCATAGTTTAATGACTAAATAGCACAAGATAAAATCAAGAACACAGCAATGTGAAATGATATATGCATGTCTTTACAGGCCACTGCATTCCCTTTTCACATGATTAGACATTAGACAGAGCTCTTACTGATTTATGTTCCGTCTCCAGCTCCAGGCCAACTTTCTCTAAATTGGCCTCGTACACCTTCCTCCTCTCCTTTAGAAGTAAAAAAAAAAACAGACAATATATATATATTTATTAGTTTGATATACATTTTTGTACAATTATGACAATGAAATCTATTGTACAACTAATTAAGTACACACAAACATTAAATAAAACACCACATATGTTGATTATGAGGCATACAGACATAATATGTACGAATCTCTAGTAAAATGCGCTAATTTAAACTATCAACACACAGCCAAAATCACAGCCAAAATGTTAGGTTGAAGTAAATATTTCAAAACTATTTACGACTGGACAAATCTTGAAAAGTTAATGTGAGATGAAATGCATACTGTGAGTGCACATATAGCAAGGCACAAATTAAATGTAAAACCAAAGTAAACATACAGTCACAGTCAGCGCAGCAAGTATTCCAGTGGTAAAAACACAACTAAATAAGTTGCCTATAAACCAGTGTGGACAAGGCAGGGTCAGTTAATTCAGTTGTGAAAGTTACTTGTGGGAGTGCAGTAGTATGACATAAATTCCCATTTGGCACTTGAAATTAGGTTGAATGTTTTCAGAAATAGGCATGTAAAAAAGGAATTGCCCATATTATCACAGAAAAATTGACAAAGAGAATGAAAGCCTTCTAGTTAGAGCTGGAATTAACCCATGAACCCTGAAATGCCCCATTTTACGACACACGAATAACACAGGAAGTGGCCTCCTGCCTGGCTTTCCTCATACCGTGGAAAAAATGAGCAAGTTCCTGACCAGGCTAGAGGTCTGATTGTTGACTCAGTGATGACACTGTGGGCAACATGCCAGTCAGCTGTGACAAACTGCCACATACCCGAGGAGTGGTAACATCCAGATGTGAAAGGCTAACAGCTCAGTATCAAACACCAAAAGTGTTTCAGCACTCCACAGCTGATAGAGAGACTCACTAAAAAAAAACTTGTGATCAAAGACAGTATGGAGACACTTCAAGTAGATTTACTGAAGGAAAAATGCTTGTGAATCTACTTCAATGTGACCTTCTCAGAAAATTCCTTGAGAGGATTACTGATACAACTGAGAATAACAGTTTATCTAGCTTAACAGTGTTGTGGTATTTAAGGTATGCTGCTGACACACACTGTGACTCTGAGGATATCCTATAAGAACCAGTTCTTACTGTTTAGATCAAGAAGTAGAAATAATATTAGCTGTTCTTTTGTGTGATATATTAAGATTTAATTTTAAGGTATTTAGTTCTGGCGATGAATCATATTCACTGTTATTCTGCTAAATTGGATATACAACAATAACAACACTGGAAAACATAAATTACAAACATGATCTTGCAGTTAAACATGTAAAACCAGAGTGCACATACAGTCACAGTCAGTGAAACAAGTATTCAAGTGGTAAAAACACAACAAAACAAGTTCTATATAAACCAGCGTGGGCAAGGTAATGTCCGTTAGTTCAGTAGATTTAACAGCAGCAGTATACATACAGTACCTAGAAGTTGTTTCTTACCTGTTTTCTCTCACCATCTTTATCATCAACATAGGACAGAACAAAATCAATCCTGCGCACTCCATCACGGAAGAACACTGAGTCTTTACTTTGTTGTTGTTTGTCAATCTATAATGAGATAGAACAGAGGTCATAACATTTAAAATATACACTGGTACAGTTTCAGCTCAATGGGTCTTGGATGCATTCACCACAGCAGACCACAGAGTCAAACAATGTGTCAGTAGCTAACAGCAAAACCCCAAGAACAAAGCCTCCACACCACATCACACTCGACTGTTTGTCTAAAACAAACAAAAATGAGGATTATCACATTTTTACTACAAACACAAATGATATGCTAAATGTAAGGCGGCTGCTGTGACTAAGATCTTTCATGTTGCTCATGTCCTTAAGACTGGATTTATTGAACAATAACAATAGGCCTTAAAGAAACCTATGTTGCGCATGAGAACAAAATCCAGACAGATATCCAGAATCCTATGAATGCTTTAATTTCAGGTCATCTGACTACTTAAATAAAACCTCAGGCTATAGCAAAGGATATGTGGAGAGGACCACAAATTCATAATCCTTATTGTGTAGAGAAGAAACATAACTCTTAACATTCCACAAAATTGTACTTTATTTGCTTGATTGTCTGTAAATCCTGGGATTCATAGGGGCTGAAGCATCTTTTATTGGTGGCTAAAGAAATTCCAAGCATGTGGGGCAGCTAATGCTAGCCCTGCAGTTGCTGTCTCTTCGGCAGCTACAGGGTCGAGGAGAAATGAACTGCACAGGAATGCTTTACAGGAAGAAAGGAAGGCATTGCTTTCAGTGCTGCTTCAGCTGTTCAGAAAGCTAAAAATAACCATGTACCATGTACAACTGTCATCACCACACATCACTACAGTAGCTACCTACACAGGACTGCTGACAATTCAGAGAACTCACACATAAGCGAAGCAAAAGCTACAACACCCCACTCAGCCAGATCTATGGCTACTGTGCTGTAGTTCTGACAGAGTTTTCCCGTCAGTCAGCCCAATGCTGTGGTTGTAGGGAGGAAAGGAAGAGCACTTTACCTCCATGGCCCACTCCCTTTGGTTATAATGCATCAACGGAAAGGCCGGCTGCCTGAGCAAAATTTCCTTTCTCCTGGGAGCACAGTCCAGCCCTTAAAGTACTGCTTCTCTCACTCTCACTCCACTGATAACCCCCGTCAGAGGAGCTCCAGCCAGTCCACTCATCTCCCAGGACAAGCCCTCACTTGGCCAGACATTTAGAAAAGAGACAGAAGGGGGGAGCACAGGAGAGAAATAGAGGAGACTCCTAGAGATGACATCAACATGTTGGTAGCATAGCTGCTGCCAGCTCATGCTGCAAATCTAGCTAATGTAATAAGAGGAGAGCCTCAGGCAGGGGGAGATGACATCACTGTGCTGTGACCATCAGGAGAGTAAAAGAAACAGTGCCTGAAATAGGTTGTTCAATATCTCAGATAAAACCTTAGCTGAAAAGCCAAATGACTGCGTGAAGAAATCTGCTCTGATAAGACTGATGTGGACAAACTACAGAAAACCAGTGATTGATCCAGTCTGACTTGACTGTTTGAATTCAATTAATCAACGTGGAGACCTTAGCACAATGGTGTACAATGTGCAAATGTGGCACTATCAATGGAACATATATGTAAATTGTCTTAGCCATGTTACACATTGTCTGCAGCAGCAGCAGTTCCTGCTGTACGAACTCATAGAAGCATTTGTGGCTACATCTTCCAAGCTTTTTATGGGTTTTCTTAGGCAAAATGATGCATATGTTCTAACGACTGGTCTGCATTACCTCCCAGTTTAGATCAGACCATGTTGACCATGGCAGGTTGGGAGCTTTCTATAACTGGGATGTCCCTGCAGAAACTCTCTAATTTGCTGTAATTACAGATCAGCCATATGGAATCAGTGCATCTGCTGGGACCTGCCTCTGCTAAGTAAAGCCAGTAGAGGCCACAGACTACTATACATTTACCAACTAACCCCTAACCACTCAGTGTTTAGAGATATATGTACGTCTTAATTAAGGAGGGTGAATGTAGAACATGTGTAACATAAGAAGGCTTCTAATTTCAGGGAGAGGGTTCTGTAAAATATTACTTTCAAGGCATTTCTTTTTTGGGGTCAAGAATTTGAGCATATCATTTTTATTAAACTGGTCACTTTTGATTTTGATGTTCAATAAATTGCTGCTAAATTGTCTGATAATATACTATAGTAATGTATTTTCTTCTGAGAACAATTCTCCTGTTTAGTTGTAGTTTCTATGCTTCAAAATCCTCTCCTCTCCAACGTACTCTGATGTTAGTGCTACAAAATGTAACAGTAAGGTTGCATGGAACTCTTTCTAGTGTTTTTCTAAGTAAATTGTAGCTACTGTATCACTCCAATATGTCTTTACTGTGTTGCAATAAATCATTGCAATCCTCAAATTTGTTCTAAATGCAGAGATTTTAGGCTTTTCTCCATAGCTAAAAAGGAAAACTGGACACTCCTATATTCAGATTTGCAAAAAATTATATTTGGTTCAGCAACACTCTCTAAAAATACACATAAAAAAATATTGTTGAAAAATTATATGCTTCCACACAGGTGCACTGCATTGTACAACTAAGCAATTCAAACCCAACCATGCTCTGTGGCATGAATAAAAATATTGTTTTATATCAAGACAGCAAGAGTTAAAGATCTAAGACTTTGAAAGAGGGTTCATTGTTGGGGCATGGATAGCAGGAGCTTCAGTCACAAACGCTGCTTAACTGGCTAGTGTTTCAATAGGAACAGTGACTAAAGTGACATCCACATTTAGATCTATGGGATGTCAGTAAGTAAGGTCAGAAATTGACGGTGCACATTTGATCACTCGACTCTGATGCTCACACATTAGTGAAATATTTAAGGAAAAACAGAAGAGCACGCCTCCTCAGGTGACTGGGAATGTCGATCTCAATGCAGGACTTAATTGACTTATCCCATCAGACTGTGTTAGCGAGAACAGTCTGCTGATAATTACACAGAGAGATATCATAGTAGGGTTATAGTGCATAAACCCCTAATTACAAAGATGAATGCACATTTAAGCCACAGGTCTACAGAGATGTGGAAAAACGTGATATGGTTAGAAGAGTCATCCTTCACTACATCCTCAACAAGCAGGTGAATGCATGTGTGGCGTACACCAAGAGAAGAGTACAGGCCTGAATTCTTGACCCCTACAGTGAGGGGATCTGGTGGCTCCGTTCTGCTGTGGGCAGCATTTCAATGGCATGGTATGGGTCAAGTTGTCCCCTTTGAGGGAAGTGTCACTGCAAATCAATGCAAAGTTGCTCTGAGTGATCACTTTTATCCTGTCGTGAAACATTTCTATCCTGAGGAAATAATGATGTCAATCATATGCTATGGCCTTCACAGTCACCAGATCTCAAACCAACTGAACACCTATTTGAGATTTTGGACCGATGTGTTAAACAGCGCTCTCTACCACCATCATCAAAACATCAAATTAGGGAATATCTTTTTCCTTCCCTCCAGTGGAGTTCCAGAGACTTGTTGAATCAATGCCAAGGAGCAATGAAGCTGTCATGGCGGCACAACACTTTGTAAAGGCACTGTATGTTGGTTTTTCTTTTAATTTATCACCAGTCTTTTAGGAGGAGGGCTATACAGTCAGCTTCTTTTTCCATTCTTGATCACAGCGACAATTTATAGATGTGCAGCTGCCTCCCTCAAAAACTCCTTTATGTCATCCTCCACGCAGCCTTCAGTTGGAGGGAACAGGATTACTAGAAAAACTAATTGTAGGTTTTTTTCCCCTAAAGATTAGCCGCTGTTAAAAGGGGTAATGATTCCACTTTTCATTAAAATGGGCTGAACACTGTTTAAGCAAGACCATATTTTAGAGCTTTCAAAAAAAGATGCCTACTGTACAGTATGTGGTTAGCCACAGCAGAGTTCAGTCCTGTCATGAGCACAGGGCAGAGTCCTGATTAAAGTATAGACTGTATACTGTGTATAGACACACACACACACACACACACACACACACACACACACACACACACAAACACACACACACGTAAGCGCACACAGAAAAACAGCTAGACAAATGACAAATATGGTATAAAGTGTGTGTCCAAGTCTGTTTGTGTATGTGCGCTTGTGTGTGCAAGTGTGACCATTCTAATTACACTGTAACACCTCCAGGCTGTTGCTTCCTCTTCAGTGAAGCAGACGATTATCACAGGTGAGATCAAAGCAAGTGAAAAGGCCTTTTCCATTTTTAATGAACTCTAATGATGCATCAACATTATAGCTCATGCCAATGTTTCCATTCCTCTCTGCAGAAAACAACATGCTCTCCAGAAGCCACTATCAGCTCTCTACAAAGATACTGTATTACTGTACTTTGTATTGATTTTCAGCTCAATGCCCAAGCTTTATTTTCTGAATATATAATGCTGCTGGAGTAACTCAACACTGAAAAGCCATTCTTTAAGATTGAAATTAAGTCTGGCAGGCAGACATATGCATAGAGTTGCATCACATCACAATTCTGTTTTACCATGCCATACCCTTGAACGAAACTTCAGGAATAGAGCCCGCTTTCTCGAGAGCTGTGGAGGAATCAAGTGGACAGTGAGGGAAAGCCTAACAACACGACAAATTCAACAGCAGACAGCTAAAACTGTAGCAGCAACCTTACAGAGTTGATCAAAGCGGATCAAAGTGTCAGACACTCAACACTTGCATTACGTTTACACATCCTTACAGATTACACTCAAAAACAGTTCACGACACTAGAAAAACCAGTAAATGTTAGAAGTCACAATCAGGTCTTGAGCTCTGAAAGGATATGAGATGGCACAAACACATAAACACTGACACAGCAGCATGCATCTGTGTCCTCGACTGGCGTCTTACCCCAGCCAAAGAATTGATTTGCTCTAAGGTCTGAGCCTGAAAGTGTGGACTGTCGCTGTGGTCAGAGGTGGCCAGGGAGGCTAGGCTGGTGCTGAGAGACTCACAGGTCTCTACAGACACATCAGGCGTAAAATGAAACTTTAAGCACAGTGTAGAAGGGGGAGAATAAACAGGAGCATTAGGGTTGCATCTGACTCTCTTGTGACATTTTCAGGTTGTAAACAATTATTTGGATTGAAAACTGAAACTACTGGTTGTGGGCAGTACTAAGATCCATAAACTAGTGGGTGGGTTTACAATGAGAAAATCAGTGTGGCTACTAAACTCTGAAGAGAGAAGGAAGGGGATCTAAATAAAGCAATTAACTTGTACACAATTAACTTCCTGCTACCATGCTTATAGGGGGTAAGGCAGAAGTGAAGATAAACTGCTAAACAGAGATCTTTTGTGCATCTGTCCTGGAGACCTAAAACTTAGCATAGAGGAAGGACAAATCTTCCCATATGTAAACAGATGGTATATTCTCAAATCATCTAAAAATATGCAGACAATTCTGAGGCACAGGGTGCTATAAAACTCTCTCCCACCCACTATCTATCCACCACTGAGGCAAAATAATTTGCTTGACTGAAATGTCTGTATGAAGGTGCTGAGTGAATGTAAACATGTGGTGAGTTCTGTGTTTACCGCTGATTGTCCCTGCTGGAGGGATCCTGTGCTGGATGAGGCGTGTTGGTGGTAGCCATTTACATCATCTGCAAGACAGTGACATGAGGAACTCAGAATTAAAAACAGAATTACCATTGTTAATTATGGCAGTATTCTCTAACCATTGTAAAATAAGAATGGCAAGTAGCATACTGAATTGGAGGCAACGAAGTTCAATTTCAGGCTAATGAACAGCTGCCTGTATGGAGAGAGGAGCGCTGACTATCAGCCAATGTTGTGGTCTATATTTGTACAGCATTTTGTGGTGGTGCTCCCCACAAGGCCAGACAGCATGAACTAACGATCACTGTGAAAGAATACTCACAGCCATGTTGCTGCAATTCAACCACTACAGAAGTGACTGCAGGAAACCAGAAGTCTAGTAAACCCCCTCAATATGTTTAACAGTAAAAGCTGTGATGAAACATGGTTTTAACCCTGATAAAGTTCTTCGTTTGTCTGTCAAATTCATTCATTCATTGCCTGTCAAATGCAATTACAACCTTCCAAAGTACAGTAGATTCTGAGAAAAAAGATTTACATAAACAAATGGCAGATCAAGTAATGTTGGCATGATTTTTACAAAAAAACAAAACAAAGTCTGGTTTCAGCCTGTGTGTCTGTGTTTTTAAATAGAAAAGCAACAGTCTTAATTGATGGTCTCTCTGAGGTTATATTTAGTCTGGACTCAACACAGAGAATGTGCTTACACGGGCCTGAAACAAGCATTCAAACCTTGTAATATATAAACCTTTTCTGTCTCTACGTTATTACACACCAAGTCGGCAAAGTATAACTTAGTGGTTCAAAACTAGAATGAATGATATTTATTATAAAAGCTCTTGTCCAGAACTGGAATATAGCACAACCTGTGATGCAACTTTTCCCACTGCAGACTTCGATTTTTATTTTGTTGGACTAAACAAATGTTTTTCATTTAACATAAACTTTAAATGACTAAACTCTTGATACTGTAACTCACAGTAACAATCAAAGAAAGGCAATTGTATTTAGAATATGAAACTCAACCTTGCTGTTATCATGTACATACACAGAATGCTTATTGTTACCAACATCTTTTGAGTTATGGCAGGATGTTTAACTTAAAGGAGACTGTCGACTCCTTGACAATGAGTACTATATAGTACAGTTTACAGCTGATTTGGATTTCAAGCTAAAACAAAACTTGTTATGATACTGACCTTGTTTTGGACTGCTCTTCTTCATTCCAGAATATATTTCTTTCACACATATGCCTCTCAAACAGTTGTGCATATTTTTGCACAGTTGGACACAGTACTGGAGCTCTCTGTATTAGCCACAACTACGCCAAGAGTCTTTTCCCACCTAAGTAACCTCCACAGTTAATGCTTTGTTCACGAGAGAGCAGCTGATCACAGTGGAAATGCCACAAGGCTGCTTCTGTCTCTCTTTTTTATTACCACAGCAACAGCAGACTCAACCTCATGTATATGTTATTTACACAAAGAAAGTTATTTTACAACTCAACTTAACTGATAATAAAGGGCAAATCCTGCGGTATCCTAAAACAGTGGCAACAGATACAGCTGGTTTATTGAAATAACAGACATGATCTCCAAGCTACTAGTACTCTTTAGTATCTGTATATCTGCGCTGAAACACAGATTTTTTTTGTGAAATGAAATTCAGCAGCGTCACTTCAAGCATTTTGTGCATAACCACAGTGGGTGGGTTTGTCTGATGTGACAGGAAGCACGCACTCATGTTTAGAGTTGCGATTTTCAGGTGCACACAGACACATACACTTGCTTTCACATATCAAGACAGTCCGAGCTACATAATCTATGTTTTCAGAAAAGGTGAGTAATGATATGACAAAAAGCAACTGTGAGACCTTTAGCTGTCCACATGTTTGAACTTTAGACTCAAATTATCTTTTTTTTTATTCATTTAAACTCTAAATGTGTTTTCTAAAAACATTAGCCATCTGAAGATATATACTTAAGATGTACAGTATATACAGCCTGAAAATTCATGTTTGCTGGTTCTACATTGAATAAGTGTTACTTGTATGATAGAAATACTGCATATTCAGTTCTGATGGGTCATGGAAGCTAGAGAGAGGCTGTTTGCCATCACTAGACCCCATTGTACAATCTAAAATATGTACCACTACATTGAAATAATTGGAGGATTTGTGTGATCTACTGTTGTGAAGCTGTGACTGTGATGTGTGGATAACACTGCTTCTATTGTTATCTTTACACACAATAAACACGCAACACCAAGGTAACAGTAACTATAGTTCACGATCCTATAGCGATCACTCATACTCTCACACAGCTGGACCACAATAATATGATTCTCTCTATGCTGCAGATGAAACACTACTCTTTTACATCAATTCATACTGATAAGGGGTTGCTGGAGAGCATCCAGGGTGATTCATGCTCCATTCAACAACACCATAAATGGCTAAAAACACAACCCTCTGTCTAAGCGATTGTTTAGAATTCAAATTTAGTCAGGAGGAGAAAAAGGACTTGAGGTCTGTTCTGGTGGACAGTGGCTGCCTCTAAGCGACAACAGTGTTTCCAGTAAGCAAGCCAGCTGTCAGAGGCTGGCTGGCTGTAAGTCACCACTGTTTCCATGAACAGAAAGCAAGACTCTGACCTGGTTGGGGCGTTAAAGGGGGAATTTGCGATGTGGAATCTTTAGAAAATGTAAATAGTTGAGTTGTGTCACCTAAATTGATTTTAAAATCAATGTTTTTAGGTGAAGGTGATACTAGTTATTGTTGGTGACACAGCAAAGGCATGGCCACACATTTCACTGACATCTAATTTTCTGTCCTGTTTACTTGAGTTGTCAAGTGAGAAATGTTATGGTAATGGTATGTTGCTATGGTTGTTAGAAAGTTTCACTTCATGTAAGATAGAATACTCCTAAAGAATAATGATATTTTGTAGGTTTAGTGTAGTATTTGTTAATATTCCTCGAAAACTTACGTTAAGTACACTAATATTTTTCTCAAGGCCATACAGACTGGGGGATATCAACCTCAGTGAAATCTTAATTGATTACCCAGGAGGCAGATATTCCAACCCTAATGACGCCCAACATATCAACTTCATAGCAACATGCGCAGTTTGGGCTGGCTCTGGCATTTAGCTACTCACCGTTGAAAGATTCTGTGGGGCTCATCTCAATCAGACTGTCCCCTCCAGATTTTCCTGTTATTCGATGCATGTTGACTGTCTCGTGTGGCCAAATCGTGCCTGCTGGTCCTCATCTACACCATGAAATCCGGAGCCAGGCGATTTCTGTCCCGCCTGAACTAAAAGCCGTTCAGCTTCACAGTCGTCCTCTTCAGAGACTCCTCAGTTAGCTTGCCAGGCTGCTCGCCAGGCTGCCGTCCTTCCTGCACCCACCGACCACTGACTGCTGCATCATTCACTTCAGTACCAGAGGGAGGTTCATGAGGGGAGTGGCTCCACACCGCAGACCAATAGTTTACCCTGGAGTTGAACAGTTACCGTATCCAAATGTCTACATTTCATGTCAGAAAGAACGAACAGAAATAGACAGTCCAAATATGTGACATTAGCTAATTATATGCGAGGAGCATTGTGTTGGCTAACAGTCAGCTATCAGACAAGTTGGAGGCGAACTTTCCTCTATGGAGTTGATTAAATTAAGACAACCGGGAATGTATGTTTGTACTTGGGTATTCTACTTACCAAGAGAGAAAATAAGAGCTAACACTGCTAAATTGGGTCTAAAAAGTTGAATGTTTTTAAGTTCTAGTCAGTGAAACACAGAGGTTCATTTTTAACGGACGAGTGTTCATGAAGAATGTTGTTGCCATGGTGACGGGTTTATAATCGCCATATAAGATGTAAAGTTGCTTTATTAATGGTTTATAAATAATTTTACTATTGGTTTATAAATCAATCATAAGACATTAATAATAGCAGCTTTTGGGTTCCCGGGTTGTCCAGCATGACACTTTGATGGCGCATAAATTCATTAAGGAGACCCCTGGAGGTCTTCAGGTCAACAGTTAAGTCATTAAGAAAAGGTAATGGTAATGGTAATCTCAGTTTGTAATAAGCCAACAAATAAATGGTAAATAGATCAATGAAGGGTTCTACAATAATGAATTGTGCATGTAGTTGTAAGTGTTAATAAGCTGTTTATAAATTGATTTTGGTCCAGATGTCTTGCAGCTCTTTCCCAAATGTTCAGTGGTCAAACAGTCCACTGGAGAGGTCTCCCTAATGAATTAAATAGCTACCTAAAAAACAAAACTGTCATGTTTGAGGGTAATTTTTCCATAACCTGGCAATTTAAATTATGTTCTTATTAATGGCTTATATCAGATCTATAAAACATAAGCACATGTTATAATTTATGCCTTACAAGAAGGTGGTACTGTCACAGAGGGGTAGGGCTGGACTCAAATGCAGCCAACGCATGGGAGACGGTGCACACAGGTTTATTAAACTAACAAAAAGGAACTTAAACAGCATAGGGAACCACAGGGGATGACAACAGGAGAACATGAACAGGTAACATGAACAGACCGAAAACAAACCAGACATGAACAAACTAAGGACAAACCAGACATGGACAGCTTGGGGACATACTAGACATGAACAGGCCATGTGAACAGATTGATGATTAAACAGACATGAACAGATCGAGGAAAACCCAGGGAACAACAGAGAGACAACAGACGAACCGACCCAGACAAAGGGAAGCACAAAGACTATATAGACAAGGGAGGCAAGGGTGGTTGAACAAAGGTGAAACGCATTAGGGCAGGGCAGACAATCACCACAGACACAGGACCAAGACAGGAAGCAAAAACACTGACACACAAGGAAACCAATTACAAAATAAAACAGGAAGTGCGAAAAGTCCAAACAAAGCTAACAAAAGGTGTCTGCCATAGCAAACCATGACAGGTACCAGTAGTTGAAAAACTGTGAAGTCAAACCAGATGAGTGGACTATAACACTGAAACTGTAAGATATCAACCTATAGTGCACATAGCCATACCATGTGATAAGATCAGTGATCAGAGCCATTGGATGTGTATAGAAATGAGACATTAAACATGAAACATTAAACACAGACAGACATCAAGGATTTAGGTTTCTTGGGTCACTATGTTCCATTACTCATTTGCTTAGATAGGCTATTTGTTTGGCAAATACAGTGAGAGCTTCCAGGAACTCCTTCACAACCATTAGCCTATTACCTCATGCCTTTCCAAAACTGTTTCATATCAAGGATTTCACAAGAAACTTATCCTTTCTCCCATCTGACATATGTTCAAGAGATTTAAGAGAAACATCATTTTCCATTATAATTGGAGAATGAACCCTCAGTGATCATTTTATGCTCTTAGGTTGTAATTGTCAAAGTCTTTTGTAAATAAACAATTCATGTTCAAGTCTTTGCTGAAAAGCCCTTTCAAGGCCACAGACTGTGGACTTTAATGTATCTTTCATCAGTCACTGGGATGTTTAGTTCAAACAACTTCACGTTTGTCTTTTTCTTCCCACTCGTTCACACGTCAGTGTGTCTGTTCTATCAGCAGCTTTCCCCTGCTCCTCCCAGCCATCTCTCTACTCTGTACTTCCACTCCGGTCAAATTTAGTAGCAGTGGCCCCCTCTGTCACCCTTCAAGTGGTTTATACAGTCCTGTACTTGTGTAATTATGTTATCCTCCTCTGTGGGGTGTGGCTGAGTACAGAAATATAGCTGCTTATTTTTGCGACCACTTTTACTTCAACATCATTTCATCTCTCTTCCTTGACATGTGGGTCTTCCTGGGTGTGCACTCCTTCCCAAGGTTTCCAAGACTAACGGTAAAAATCAGGTTTAATAACAGGGCACGATGGGCCACCCCTTTGATATGTTAGTTTTTCTTTCTTTTCTGTCAAAGAGAAAGGATGAGAAACAGACATAGGTTTGCTGGACTGTGTAATGGGATTCATGAGTGAGATATTCTTTAAAAAATCAAATAAGTTCACAAAAGTAGGTAGTAGATAGTAGTTCTGTACAGAGAGGCCTCCTACTGCAAGTGTCAATATAAATTAAAATGGATAAAAACTAAAGCATTATAGTATAAAACTATGGACAATATACAACCACTTCAAACAGCAAGATACCAGTGTAAAAAATGACCTCAGAAGTAGAAGTCCTGCCTTTAAGATTTTACTTTTTAAGTAAAACAGTACTAAACAGTACAAGTAGCCATAAAACTTTCAGAGAGTAATGCTATTATTTATATTACATAACAAGATCATTACTAGTTATGGATTAGGCAGATTATCTGTGTAGTGGTTAAGGTGGAGTAATATTTAATAGCTTTATACTGTTGGGAAGTTTGATATGTCACAGTGTATTTTATAGGTTGATCCTATGTTTTGTATGTAAAATATTAATATAAAAAAGTATTGGATCAAATAAGAGATACTGGCGTAAAAAGCTAATGTATTTCCATGTGAAATGTCGTAGAATAGAATTTATGACGTTTGTTTTGGACTTTTTAGGTTGGTTATGAAAAAGGGGAATTGACAGTTGAAAGTGAAACTCCTGAAGCACCATCTTAGAAAGCTGATGTGACACTGTTAACTTCATAGAGGAATGAGATTGTTTTCATATTCAATAAGTTGAGCTCCCACCTCCAAACAGCTAATAAGGTGAGTTTATTTTGAACATGTGTAGATACAGTATTAGTTTAGCTTGTGGTAGCTTATTTACAGCTAAACTGATGGTATAGCTCAATGGCTACCTTACGCTAAACCTAATGTTTCTGATTAATGTAGGTGTAAATATTGACACTGAATGGGCTTTATTTTGTATTTTGTAATATTTCCATGCTGGTTTGCTCTTATTTGAATTATTCTGCTGTGAATAGTAATGCACCAGCTCAGCCTTTCCATTAGGGGCCTACTTAAGTAAGTACTTTCAAAGTGTAATTGAATGCCTCAAAGTTTGTTTTGTTTTTTTAACAAATGTCACAGCCAGTGCTGACTGGTGTGTGTGTGTGTGTGTGTGTGTGTGTGTGTGTGTGTGTGTGTGTGTGTGTGTGTGTGTGTGTGTGTGTATGTGTGTGTGAGAAGGATTATTCAGTCACAGCTGAATGCAGTGATTAACAGGCAGATGAAGTCAGTGTGTCTGCCTCCATCTAGCGGTGGATAAATGGCGTCTTGCATCAGCGAAGAGGAGGCAGCAGCAAAAATATGCCATTCCTTTGCACCTGACAAGCCATCTCGTGGTTGTTGTCTGTTTTTGAATGCAGTTGCTGAAGCACACAGGACACTCTGTTTATTTGTCAGTTTGTTGACCGCATCGCTGAAAGAGACTGAACGGAGGAGGAAAAAAAGAGGTGGAGGCTGGACAGCTGTGACACCAGCAACAGGTAGAGTCGCTTTTACATTCCTGAGCCAGTGAAACGACAACACGCTTGTTCCTAGAGGAAGTACGGAAGTTACCCAGCGCCTGTTCAAAAGCCCTCATGTCATTTTATAGTTTGGCTTATCGATGAGCTGGCCGAGCGGCTTTGGGATCAGTAAAGGGTGACTGAAGCTTTTTTTCTTTTTTCTTTATTTATTTATTTATTTTTTCTATCAGAGAAGTCGCATCTGCACATCAAATACACATCATGCCGGTCCACAGGAGGCAGGTAGGTGATCTTATTCATAGAATACAGGGATTATATCGATACATAATGGAGCTGTTGCTCGTGTTGTTATGCTGCCATAGGCCTGCTATGTCTTTAACATGACTGCCAGTCCTTGTCTGAATAGCATAACAACAGAGACTAATCCCAGTGCTGCCCAAGATCCACCCATACACATATCTGGAGTACATGTGAATGTTTATATCTGAATTAGGATTAGATGGGATATATTGGGCCTCCTTGACTGTGATATTGTTCAAATTGAATTTCTACATCTGCCACACCTTGCCACTGTTTTTGGCCTACATGCAACAATGTGTAGACTATTCTGTAAGCGAATAGCATGGGTAGGCATGACTGGGAACACACATCAACATGCCATGCTGTTCAGTCAGAACAGAAGTTAGATGAGCCCTCTCCACTGACAGTGAGTGAGTCAGGATCACTACAGGTTTTTGTTAGCTCAGTGGCATTCATTGACACACCCCCACAATATAGTTGGACAGGATTCTTTTGTAGATTATCACCTTTCTGCATTTTTTCACAAGCTCGGTATTGCATATCAATGAAACCCAATTCCAATTTCTGACCTAAGCTTTCCAATCAATCAATTTAAAAATATAACATTTATTCATGATGTGTACCTTTTCTACAATAGTGTGGATGACTTCTCCTTGTATTATTATTATTCTTATTTATTTTGTTGTATAGCCCAGTATTGAACTACTGGAATTAATGGGAGTGGTAAGAGAGAATGGCAATGAACAGACATCACTTCCTCCTGTGGTAAGACAGTTTAATGTGTCTACTGTGAGACTATTCTATCTAGTTCTGGCAGCTTTAATTTATCAATGAAGATTCATCCATAAAATGTCTGAAAGTCTGACTTTGGCATCTCATTTTTGTCACACAGCACACTCCACTGTCATATGACTATGTCCTGGTTGCCAAAACAAGTGAAAACCAGGAGAGAGTGGCTTTCAGGAAGCAAACAGAATACATTGAAGAATTGAAAAAGAAGAACATGAGAGTCACAGTAAGTCTTTGATAATAAGCAAAAACGTACCTTTACTGTGGCAAAGGTCACACGATTTATTCATTCATCTTTTTCCGATCCTGTTAGAAAATTATAGATGATGATCTCATCTTCTATGGGATTCAAGCGCCTAAAGAAATTTTTGAGAAGTACAGGTATCTGCTCAAAGTGTCTGATGCTTGTAACTGGAGCTCGGATCAGAGCATTATGCCTCTCAGCACCAGGTAAACCATGTTGTCATGTCAATGTGTCTCATATGATCTTATCATTACAAATGTGCTTGTTCTTGTGCAAATTGTCTCCTCTATGTGATATGGTTTTAGCTTCTTTTGTACATCTGTTTGTGTAAACTTTATAGTCTTAATGATCTCTTAGCCAAGCTATGCTTTGTTATTTATTATGGCTAAAAGACTCCATAAAAATTTGACTGAATTAATGAAGTTTTTATTGTCCCTTGCTGCAAGTTCAATTTTTAAGCGTGCGATACTTGTTCTATTTTCAGAATAAGGATTGTTCACTTTATCTTGAATCACACCCCTATCCATTCAGGAGGTGAGAAAGACTCATTGAAAAATTCCTTCTCTTTTATTCGGACTCCAAAACTTTTCCAATATTCCTCTAACCTTACCTGTAAATCTTCTCAGAGGGTCTGCGCTGTCTCATGAAGATGAAGGTTTTTGAAGCAAAGTTCTGCTTACATGAGGTAAAATTCCTAAAACATATTATTATACTGTTCTCTTTACAGACTCTTCCTTGTACAGCATCAGTGTATTATCTCAAACCTTTACAGGTGTGATATTGTCAGTTGTCACCATATCTGGCCTGAGCAGGCAAGTAAAAAGATATAGTCCTTCAATGAGACTTGGTTCAAAGTTTCCTTAAGATGAGATGTGAATGGTTCAATTAAACCAGCAGTATCTGCCATTGTTTTCTTCATGGAGATCCACACATTCTTATGCTGAAGATAGTGACACTATTATGTGCTGATACATCTCTGCTTTTCATTTGATACTTAAGTGTTTTAAGCGCTTCTAAAACTATGAAGTGAAACTTGGCAGTGGCCTTACAGAACAATACATTGCTGCCAAAAAATATTTGTTCACCTAGATCTTATGCAAGTCATATTAATACAGTGAGTCATCCGATGCTTGGAGTAAATGTGTATCTGAGAATACTGTACATTGCTACTGTACATACTATGTACACATGTTGGCATTTTACATGTGTGTTCTTCTGTTTACTTTACTTTATAACGTTATGGGTGAAGTCATTTCCAGGAAATTGAAATCTAAAGGATTACTCCAAATATGAGGCAGCAATCATTTTGGATATTTTTTTACAGTACATATGAGCTAGTAAACTCTGTTAGATATTTTAAGTAGATTATATTTTTTACATTGTAAGCATCTGTTTTTGGTATCACTGTATACTGTGTTAACCTATTTGTACAAAGCTCTTCATGTTGGTGTTTTCCTGTTTTTCTTGTGCTCCTGCTCTCAGAAAAGGAAACAGAGAGAGCTGAAGGAGAGCTGGGCACGATGGACAGCCTGTCTCCAAGGGCAACCCATAACTGCTGTCAGGTTTGGACAACAGCCTATTCATTATTCTTCGTTGGATACAGTTGCAGATATTGCAGCTTTATTGTTTTCCATGTCATCTTACTGTGAAGTAGGTTCAAGGATTAACAAGGCAACAGCAAACATGTCACCCCCCACACATCATGCAGTCATTGTTTGGACTCATCATTTAAAATGACGTACAGTACTCAATGCTGGTACTGATCAGAGCTGTCTTTGTCCTTAGATTCAGTTGAATAATGAGCAAACAACAGGACACAATTCAAACAGGCATCATGCCTCAATTTTTAAGTAAAACAATGGACATATGTAACCATTCAAGTCAGCATGTAAGCAGAGAGATAGATTCACATTAAAGCCTATTAACACACCTCGGTGACAAGAGACATAATCACTCCAAGTTTTGTCAAAATCAGTCCAGCCCTTAACAGCATTATTATTTTAAATATGAAATAAAATCTAAGAAATTTATGTTGTAAAATTCAAAATATTGTAAACTTTATGTATGAACATACAGTGTTTATGATGCCTCCGTGCCGGCGACAGCCAGGGCCGGAGGAATTATGTTTTCGGGTTGGGCGTCCATCTGCCCGTCCATCCCTCCATCTGTCCATCCATCCGCACGTCCCATTCTCGTGAATGCGATATCTCAGTAACGTCTTGAGGGAACTTCTTCAAATTTGGCACAAACATTCACTTGGACTCAAGGATGAAGCAATCAGATTTTGTTGGGCAAAGGTCACAAATTCATACTTTAATTATGCCACAATTTAACTGAAATGTCTATTAGGATAAAATGAAGCGAAAACATTTTATATCCAAAGGGTCAAAGGTCAACTTCACTCTGACATCATAATGTTCTGCAGAAGCACTTCTGGCCATTATTCAGTGCTTGTAGATGAAACATTATACTATGACGGTGTATATCACATACTGTTCCTAGATGTTTCATTCTAAGCATGACATGTACTGAGCATCATGGATGTCAGACACTAAAATACATCTATACACTATAAGCATATACAGTACTTATTATATAATGTTATATACAGTATATCCGTTTTTATCTTCATATACTTTGATTATAAAGTGTGTGTGTGTATGTGCGTGTGTGTGTGTATGTGCGTGTGTCCGTGTGTGTGTGTGTGTGTGTGTGTGTGTGTGTGTGTGTGTGTGCTCATGTCAGGAACTACTTTGGGGAGAAGGTGGCCTTATACTACCTGTGGTTGGGCTGGTACACATATCTGCTCATCCCTCCTGCTATCATTGGGATCATTGTCTTCCTCTATGGCCTTGCCTTCTTTAACACCTCACCCCTCATGTAAGTTTTTCCACAACTCTGCAGTGTCTTTGTTATTACTTTGTTTTTTACAGATCATTTTAGTTTAGTGAGATTATTTAGTTATTACAGATTTACACTGTAATAACCAAAGTGTTTGCTGTGTTGTAGAAAGGAGGTTTGTGAGGCTGACATAGTCATGTGTCCACTTTGTGATAAATGCAAAGTTTGGCAGCTCTCCGACACCTGCACATACGCCAAGGTACATCAGTGCATTTACTATTAGACAGCTGAATGGTGTACTTGTCTGTTGGTGCTCACTGCAGGTAATGTCTACCTACAGGTGAGCCTGCTGTTCGATAATAATGGCACAGTGCTTTTTGCGATGTTCATGGCCGTGTGGGGTGAGTTGTTTTTTTTTTTTGTCTATATTATATGCTTACTCTTGTGTTGAAATATGATGGATTTTCAATATTCAGGTCCTTGCTTAAGACAGATTGTTATTGATCACAGCCAATAAAAACCCATGCAACAGGCACATTTAATAAAAACAATAGCTAATCAGGATGCAGAACTCTTCTCCAATACTGTTGTTTATTCGCCTGAATGTTTTTTGCTATACAGGACAACTTGTACAGACAAGTCTTTTATCTGCCTCAAATATATTTCATCTAACTGCCAGGGTGTTTTTATGTTCACTGAGACACGTACTGCCAAGGAGATGCCACATCACAGAGAGAACCTACTCGTCCTGGCTACTCACATCTTAATCAGCACAGGCCATCTGGCGATGGGGGTGGTCTAGCAGTCATCTATAAGAACACATATCAGTGATCAGTCACTTTGTTATTCAGCTTTTACTCTCTGTGTTTGGCAGATTTTTAAATGTTTACAGTTTGTTTCCAAACCTATTCCTGTGTCACATGCATAACTCTTGTAGAAAAAAAGGATTTCATTTGCAATGATGATTTACTCAAGCAAAGTTTATTAGAACAGCTGTGGAGGAGGAGTACAGTACAGTTAACTACAATGGCCACTGCAGCCTTCAAAGAAAAGAGTGATTACATGAGTATATGAGAGGAAGTGTGTGAGGGAGGGGTGAGATAAAGAAAGAGAAAGAATGTCTCAAGGACATAAAAGTGGAACATTGATATTACAGGACAGACTGTGCACAGTTGAATGGAAGTCCCCTGAAAAACCCATATGTGTTGAAAAGCAATGACTAATAGCCTGTGACTTTGCATTAAACATCTGAGAAAAAGGTTTAAATCTCACATGATGCATATCTCCATCAAAGAAGTAGTTTACAGTCAGACCACAGATCAGCACCTGAGTTTTCTGCTGCCAGTCAAATTTCTATTTTTAACTAAAGCTTATGTGCACAAACCGTAACCTAAACTATAACCAAACGTCCCAAAACATAACCCTCATCTTTACTGTAACTTAAAGCTATAGTTTTTAATTTTGTCTGGTCCTGTGTTTTACTTAAGATGTGATATTTTCATACATTCAGTAACAGAGTAATGCAAAAGTGCCACCAAATATCCCAAAATACAAATTGGTGCTTCTGTTATTTAGCTTACACTCACTGATATAAATGGGATGTACAAAATAACAGAAACACCTGTCAGAGTGATGTAAAACAATTCAACACCATCTCAAACTATGTCCTTTAAGATGACCCTGTAGGGTCTGTTGCAGGGCTGCTGTATCAGGCTGTGTTAGTTTTAGCAAGGCGTACCTAATGATCAGTAAACTGAGTGTAAGTCCCTGTTTTTCACAGCAACACTGTTTTTGGAGTTTTGGAAGAGACATCGGGCTTCCTATGTGTGTGAATGGAAAGTGTCTGATTGGTGTGAGGAGGAGGTATGATCAGTTTTATACATTATATCCCATGTCAGTAAAACCAGTTCAGCCCTCGCAGTGGAATTCATGGCTGTGTGTTTTTTTTTTTCTCTTTCATTCAACTGTAGGAGGAACTGATCCTGGAAATTGTGAACAATGCAAACTGTGAACCCAAGGAATATAAGCACTCCTACCTGCGCAGCACTTTGGTTTTGATCTGTGTCACAGTTATGGTGGGTTCCTTGTCATTTTGCCACTATTCACACATTTAAAGGGGCTTGTACGGTGTCACAACCTTTATTTTAACTAAGGCTAAAATAACCTTTTAACTCTGGTTAAAATAAGAATCAGGTGGATGTTGCTATGGTTCAGGTTTCATGTAAAAACAAGTACTGTAAGTGAAAGCCATCACAAGTATCATGGTATAAATAAGTGTTTCTGCCTTTCCACAGATATTGGTTATCATTGGCCTGACACACGCCTTGGTGGTGTTCAGGGTGATTGCAGCAGTGCTCTTTGCTGAGGGATCATGGGAGTTCCTGAGCACCAACTCCAACAGTGGAGCAATGATGCTGGGGGCCGTGTTCCACTATCTTATCATCACTGTCATGACACGGGTACACAGGTCTCTAAATGTGCTTCTCTGTTTCCTAACAGCGATATTCTCTTTGACGCTGACTTTGTCTTTGTCTTTGCAGATTAACAGGATTGTAGCCATGAAGCTCTGTGAAATAGGTTTGTTTACGTATTCTGTTTATATCCAAATTTCAAATAGATGCAGTTAAACTCAGCAAGACTTTAACCTTAGCTCTTAAATGTCCCATGATGTACAGCTTTTATGATTTTATTTCAAAACGTATTGTGGTTCAGGATAGAAAAGGTTAAATAAGCAGTTATTTGAATAGTCAGTAACAGCTGTCACTGGGTGGGCAGTGAGAACAGGCAAACAGATCCAAGAACGCTGCAGCAAATCAAGACAGGATGCAGGTCAGACGCACAGATGACAGACTACCAGCAGGATCAGGCAGGCAAGTAATGTCTAGCGCACTACAGCAGCTTCGCAACATAAATGATGTGGCTAAGAGAGACTGAAAGCTGTCCTCTATTCAGTGGCCCAAATCCAGCGTTAAAGAATCACGGACTTTGATGCACATTTCTACAGCAGCAACCACAGTGTCTTTATCATACAGTATGAAAGCATTGTTCACAGGCAGAGTGCAGGGCTTAGCATGAACATTGGAACTGAACCACCATATAAAAGCAGTTGTAAAGATGTGCAATAGCTTAGGTGATTTATCAGAGGAGGGAGACACACTGAGGGCAGGTACATGGGCGGGGCAGGTACAGATCAGGCACAGGGCAGGTGAGAGGGGCAGGGAGATACACTAGAAATGTGGAGAGAGAGTCTGAGCTTGATGACCATGAAAATATAGGCCATGTTTTGATATTTAGTCTTACGGCACTGTCATGCAGAATATATCTGAGCCCCTCTGTATGCCATTTGTTTGTGGTACATGGTATATTTCTGCCTAGGACCCATTAGTGAATTAATAGTCCTTTTTCAAAGCAGATATTCTGACTTGTCATGGCAGGTGAAGCACAGGACACTGAGGCAACCTGCCTGATATCAGAGGAACATCTAATTAGAATGATGCCATCATTAAGGTTATCAAATACACCTGTGCTTTGCCCTCTATTACATGTCAATGCTCTATTCGGTGGAGTGAAGCGCCCCAAGCTCAACAGTAATGTTTATAAAAACTGACTGACAGTGTTTTTAAAATAACTTTAGATTTCAACACTGAAACGTCTTATCTTAATATTTCATGCACCAAATACACAATATTTAAGATGAACTGGATGTAAACAGAGTAACGCATAACGGAGGTGAATCTGAACGTCTGTGGGAAAGGGCTTCCGTTAAGTGAGATTGTGCCATCCATAGGCCAAATAGTGAAATGCAGCCACACGAACAAACAATGACATGAGGTCTGTCTTCACCAGAGGAAACGAGATCCTTTGCTGCCACAGAGAAAAGTTTCACTGTCAAGATGTTCACCTTCCAGTTCTTCACCTATTTCTCCTCGCTCTTCTACGTGGCCTTTTTTCTTGGCAGGTAAGGACTTGACTGAGACGGGGCTGGTCGATACTTCAACATTAGTGTGAAGTATCTGTGACTGTTAGTGGTGAAATACAGTGTATGACAACGTGATCATACTGTGGTCTTGTTTTTCAACAACAACAGACTAATACTGGCTTGTTTTTTGTAACATACCTGACAGGATAAATGGTCATCCTGGTGGTTACGTACGAATCGCAGGGAAATGGAGGCTTGAGGAAGTGAGTGAACATGGATCTCTACCCCACTTAAAACAGCTAAATTGTCCATTTCTTTACAGTAATTGTTGCATTTTCACATGAATAAAAATATTGCATCTGATTTTATTCCAAACATTTCACTCTCTTTCGTGCAGTGTCACCCCAGCGGATGTCTCACAGACTTGTTCATTCAAATGGCGATTATAATGGTTCTCAAGCAAACCATCAACAATGTCTTCGAGTTCACTGGCCCGTAAGTATAAAACAGATTTTATGATTACATAATGTACATGTCCAATGTACACTATACTCCACTTCGCTAATGCTGGATTCCAGGCTGGTGAAAGCCCACTCTTGTTTGTATCAGCTTGCTCTGCAGGTGGTTGAAGAGGAGAAGAACCCAGAAGCTACAGAGGAAATGTGCCCACTGTTATCTGAAAGATGAGTCAGAGGCCAAACACAGAGCTGAACTGTGTGATAACTGCAAGCTTCGAGACTGGCTCAACAACTACCGCCTCAATGATGTCGACTCCTTCAGCTTGTTCAATGAGTTCCTGGAAATGGGTACGTACTCTGCAGAATGCTTTAACAACAAAAATAGTCGACTAGTTTTGACAAATAATATTTTTCTTTGTTCTCTCCCCAGTCATCCAGTTCAGCTTTACCACCATATTTGTGGCAGCGTTTCCTCTTGCTCCCCTGTTAGCCCTTATTAATAATGTTATTGAGATTCGCTTGGACGCCATTAAGATGGTCACTCTGGAGCGTAGACTGGTTCCCAAGAAAACCAACGATATTGGTGAGGATCAATGATAAACTAAGTACTAATATGTTAACTCCTAGTTGACAGTATCACAGTAAAATAACCTGTAAGTCTTTTTTCCTGTAATTGTAATATCATAAACCTGTCTATAAGAAATCAGATTTCATGATTTGACCCTTTGAGTAGCTCATCTGCAATGGTCACACACAGTTGTTATCACATGATTATATAATATATAGTATTAGTGTATATATATATATATATATTCGTAACTGAGCTCCTTGTGAAATGTTGCTCTTTGTCACTCTCCTCTGACATTTTCCTTTCAATACTCAAGTAATATTTCATGAATGTCTTCCATCTTTGAAGCGTTGGTGCTTCCTTATTTTTACAGTTTTTGCAATATGAGTTTCTTAAAGACTAATGGTGAAAAAAGAATTTGCCATCCATGATTTGGGTATCAGATTTTCTCAACATTTTGAGAGAGGAAACCCATTGGTGAGAATGCAACTTTATCATCTAAGTCTCAAATGACCAAAAAGTATGTGCGAGGGAGTAACCCTGACTACCACATTTTAAACATCAATCTGAGGAGCAGATCGCTTGTTTGTACCTTAAATTGTCTGTTTTTCCTGCATTCATTTTAATCATAATTTCATTAACCTGCAGGTCTTGTTTGTATATTAATTCTTTCACTCTTCATGTCAATGTTGCGGTTGCAGGTGTGTGGACAGATGTGTTGGAGGCTATTGGCGTCTTAGCTGTCATAGCAAATGGGCTGGTCATTGGCATATCCTCGGACTTCATCCCACGACTGGTGTACCATTACTACTATGGCCCGTGTGCCAATGGCACAGCAACAGATACTGAGTGAGAACGTGCACTCTTCTAGAAAATATTTTTGTTTTTACATGTTGTATGCAACCCTCTTTTTAAATAAATTCTTGGGTTTTTTTTTCAAGCTGCATGGTTGGCTACATCAACAACACTCTGTCCATTGCACGACTCGATGACCGGAACATATACAACGACTTTTCAGCTAGTCAGATGACAATTCCTGGTGGCTTGAATGTCACTTACTGCAGGTTTGTTCTATTTTAATAATTTCACTGGCACAGTTCTGACATATCGGTTATGAGAAATAAAAGTCAAAACATATAATTTACAGCTAACAACAGATTTGAAAGCAGTGATTGTTCTCACCACCAGAGTTACCTGCTGTTGATCTGTCATTATCCTGATAGTATTGCACTGTTTCTGTGACGACTGTGTAACCTCTGATAATAGAAGTGCTACACAGATAAGGTTTACAGTCCTCATAAAAATGGGTTGCCATCACTGCAGCGGATGCCCACAATCATCAAGTGTTTGAAGACATTTAAAACAACCACTGATACTGGAGATAACATCAGCTCTCTGGTTTGTTCCTCTTCACAGCTATAAAGACTACAGGAGCAATGAGGACTACAGTTTTACCCCACAGTTCTGGCTAATTTTAGCTGTGCGCTTTGCATTTGTCATCCTCTTTGAGGTAAGTCATTTTGCACATAGACAGAGTATGCAGAGATTTTTTGTAAAACAGTTTGTAAAACCGCCAACACAACCCCAAAACCCTCCAAAGCCCTTTGTCTTATTTGAAATTCAGCAGGTCAGACTTGAGTCTTAAAATGTCAAAACAGTGAGTTGGGTTATAACAAAATCATGGTGTGTTGTCTCTAATGAAAACATATTTTCACAGATAGAAAGCGAGACTACATTCCTAACATTTACCTCTCTGCTTGCAGCATGTTGTCGTCATTTTTAAATTCGTTGCAGCCTGGTTTGTACCGAGCGCTCCCATGCAGGTCAAGAATGACAGACTCTTTGATAAACTCAAAAGACTAAAAGAGGAACTCAGGTGAGTGTCAGATAGTATGTGGTTGGACTGGTGTGGCAGCTGGTTGCTAAAAAAAAGTACAATCTTGCTCATTAGCTCTAAAATTGCTATAATGTAAAACAGCGTAACATAATATGTGCCTCTTGTGATTTTGTTTAAATAAATAAAAACATGCACTAACTACAGATTGACCCACCTGGATCAGTAATAGTTTTGATACTGACCTTATTAGTTGGATCGGGAATCACCCATAATGTGACCAATCGCCAGTAATTACAGTTTTGTTGTCAAAGTCATTGTAAACATTCAGTGTTTCCACTTACAGTTTAATTCATTATGTCACAGCCCAGTTGCCAAGTTTTTAGTGCTGCAGCAATCCCATCTCAATTAGTTCCACTCAGTGAGGTTAGCAGATTTTATGAAACAAGAAAGCAATGGATTGATGCTAGGTGTCACAATCGGGATCAGGAGAGGAAAAGCTGGATCCTGCATTCCTAGCCCAAAACATATTTCTCATTAGTTACTGCAACTGAAAACAAAAGACACAAGGCGCTCTTGCTGCATTTGCAGTGATCTCAAGAGTAAGATAAGCTTCTTCTATGTTTGGTTGACTAGCATAACTACTTCACTTATTTCCCAGTCAAAAGTCTATTTATCTTGTGCTTTATATATCATTTTGCTATCTTTAAAAATCCAGCTAAGCTCAGTCTTGTTACCTCTCCTTGCACTGTAGCACTCGTTTTTCACGGACCTTTTTACAGGAGACATTTTGACTTGTCAGAGCAGGAAGAGCACAAGTGGAACTAATAACATTGATGATGACTCAGTTTCATTAACTACTGCAATACCACGCCACAAATTAGTGCCATTATTGGTCACACCTGTGTCTAACAAGTCAAAGTGTGAGCTGTGAAAAAAATCGTTTCAACTTTAGTTTCACTCCACATTTTCACCTCTGTCATCTTGGCTCTCTGCCATTGCGTTACTCCCTCCCCACACCTTCACGTCAGAGCATCTAAAATGAAAGCAAATGAATGCCTGCACTATAGATATATAATAGAGCCAGCATCACTCAAAAATATACTTAATGGTAGTTTGTGGTATTAATTATGTGTTTACGATATGATTGTGCCAGATAAAATATTCCGAAAAGCTAAGACCCAAATGTTTTATTGGGTCTTAGGTTTCTTGACATAAATGCTAACCAATCCTTGCTTTTGTTTCCTGCAGCTCATTTGAAGCGTGACAGAATTCAGACACTTCAATGGGACACATTTTTCCCCGAGACCATGAGCCCAGTGTTGCCTTGTGCAGGGTCCAGGCTATCACAGTGTTGAGTCGACTTCAAAGCCATTAATCATCTCAGTGAAGAGTTCAGACAGAGGCCTCTCGCTCTTCTTTATTGTTTGGAATCTGGATTGTCATCCATGAAGTGGACTTTGAGGACAGATGATTTTTTCTCGGACAGAACAAATGTACAGAAACTGATTTTACTGACCACGTCTTTCATGAGATTATTCTTATTCTATTTTAAGAATGCACTGACGGCTTTCTGGTGGATCTCTATATTTGTGAGTTGTATGTGAGTGTTTTTATTGAAAGCCTAAAGATAATTTATACTGCCACTGCAAACACAGTATCAATTGTGTGTTATGATGTTGCCTTATATTGTAAAAAGCGCTGTGATGATTGTTGCATTATTGCAGATAGAATCTAATGGTGTCTTTTCAGACACAAGAATGTTTTGCATTATAATATTTTATATAAATGAATGAAAGAGGAAACTTTTCTCCTCATGAAATGTCTTTTAAATTCAAGTTTGTCATTTAAAGTATGTCATAGTCATAGCTGACATTTTGAATTTGCTAAATTACAGCTTTTCTTTGTGCTGGAACCATATGCCTTTTTTGTCTAAGGTACAGTAAGGTACAGTATTTCAACAACAGCTAAATTTATGTAACTGTTTATAAGGCTGATTTTAGTATTTCTTGTTGTGTTACTTTTTTATGCACAAAGGAAGAATATTTTCCTGCAATGTGGAAAAGACCATTGTGTAGGTAAATTCAAAGACAATGTAATTGAAATGAAGAGATACCACCCAATCTTTTATAATGGAGTTTTAAGTTGTAACAAATGTGTTTATTAATGGTACATAAAACATTTACTATTGCTTTATACTTAAGTTATAACCATTAATAAGGACACCGCTTGGGTCTCCAGGTTGTGAAAAAGCTCTTTAGCTGGTCGCTTACAGTCTGGACAAAACTTCATTTTACTAACAACTTGATAACTTGATGATTACAACCCTTTATTAAGGACTTACCAACATGTATACCTGCTATATTAATTGGTTGTTTGAAAGTGAGAAACTCATTAACTCTCTCAATAGATTAGTCACATTTTTAGCTGAATTTTAACCAAATAGAATAAACTCTATTACACACATTGCTATTTAAGATGGAACAAAAAATCACCTGGAGCCCATCCTGCTAAAGCCATTAGGTGGAAACAAGACAGCTGTCATCCATTCCTGTGAGTTAACCAATCATTGTAGGTTAGCTGTTATGACATCATTTAACACATCATTCAGCACCACTGACCGTGGCTTCACGGTGTCAGATGGATAGAGTGCAACAGTCAGCACATCCAGGAGATGATGCTGATTCTCCTGAACAGGCAGAGCAGAGCAATCACGGCTGACATGTGTTTGTCAAAGGACAAGAGGAAACAGCTGATGCAAGATATCACTCTGGAGTCGATAGTAGGTAGTCTGGAGTAGATAGACTCTTTTAATCAAGAGAGTCTAAGAATATTTGTAATACTTGGGCATCTGGATTGATGACAAACCTTTAGTGTACATATTAAAGTATTCATTTATAAACTAAGGATGAAGTTGAAGCTGTTAAACAAAAACCGGCTGTGGAAGGCATTTTTGTCTCAGTCCCAGATTATGGTGATGTTTTCTATGCTTCAATCTGCCTCCTGTTTTCATCATTTACCATTCTGTACTCACATTTTTAACTGCAATTTTCATGTGGGCTGGACTTTCCTCTGTGTAAGAAGCAAGCATCACTGGCTTTCAGTTATTTATGTAGCACTTCTAAATACTGAGGACATTATCAAACGTGTTCTGCAGACTGACTTATATCTACTGACAGGAACTGAGCAGCTCCACAGCAGCAAATGAGAACTGTATCTCGAACATCTAGCCGATGGTTTGCAAGGTATAGAGGAAAGTGTTTGTGGTCTTTTATATTGTAACACCCAATTCTCCTAGCTGTCTTTATTTAAGAAACTAAAGGGCCAAAAGTCACTGCTGCACATAAAGGAAGGAAGCTGTACTCTTCTTGCCTTTTAACACACATGATGCTGAGTGATGTGAACCTGCACCCACATTACCTAGCATCCTCAACTGCTGTTGATGAGCTTGCAGTTGATCGACCTTTACTTGAAGAGATCTGGAGAGGAACAGTGGGGAGGGAGTGCAGAGGATGGCCCTCAGCTAGGGGGTATAAACCCTTACAGAGAAGGCTTTAATGTGGGGAGACACTATTTTTTCTACCAAGGCAACATTACACATTAAAATTTCCTTTTTGTGAACACACAATAAGTGACAGCAATGTTCTTCTCTAATTTCACTGAATATTTGAAAGCAGTGAATGTCTGATGAATGTGTGGCGTAAACTCTGAAAAACAAAACTATTTATTCAAAGTTAATTATATTGTTTAAAGTAAATAATTTTTGATTGTTTGCACTGACTCATCTTAAAAAAATACACGTGTGAATCATTACTTAGTTTTTTTTTTGTTATTATTTTATCATAGTGTGGGAGGAAACCGGAGCACCTGGAGTAAACCCATGTAGACATGTGGAGAACAGGAAAACTCCACCATGCTACATATTTGTGAAGATTCATGAGCAGCAATCTTTTGCCCAAAACCCTTAATCTGCGTCTTCTCTGGGAGTGGCGGCACTAGTTCTTCCTTTGGGCGTGGATAAACCAGTAGCAATTCCTTCTTGGACTTGGGAAAAAACAAGAGCCATTCTTCTTCGTGTTCTGGAAAGGGCAAGTGCAGCACCACTGAGGAGTCTGGTGGAGACTGTGATAATCCACCAAGCCCAAGCTATGGGCCAAAATTTCTGTGGGTCTAAGTCATTGGCCCTGGCAATAATAGCTTCAATATGTTCTCTGGTTCTAGGTATAGCAGTTGCAAATCTGGCTGTGGTCCTGGAAAAGAGTGCTTTAACTCTTGGTCTTGTTCTGGAAAAGAGTGCTGCAACCCTTGTTATGGTCCTGGAAAAGAGTGCTTCAACTCTTGCTGTGGTCCTGGAAAAGAGTGCTTTACCTCTTGTTATGGTCCTGGAAAAGAGAGCTGCAATTCTTGCCGTGGTCCTGGAAAAGAGTGCTGCAATTCTTGCCGTGGTCCTGGAAAAACCAGTTGAAATTCTTGCTCCAACCATGGTAAAGAAAGATGCAATTGTTGCTTGGGCCATGTTGAAAAATGTTGCAATTATTTCTGGAGTTTGGACAAAAACATTTGCAGTTTCTCTAATGATAATGGACAAAAAATCTACAGATCCTGCTCTGGCCATGTTGAAATAAGTTGCAACTGTTTCTCGCGCCATTGATGAAAAAGCTGCAAGTCTTGCTCGAGCAAGGGCAAAAAACATTTCTCTGAGTCGTGTGATATGAGTTAAAAGTGCTCCTTCATCTATGGACACAACAGGTGTTGATAAACTGCTGTCTGTTGCTTCAGCTAAAACTGCTGGAGTTCCTCCTAACAATCTGCCAGCACACTTTGGTGTCTCAGGGTCAAGTGACTTGATATTTTTCAAGGCTCTCTCATTCAGGGGGCAAGAATGGCAGAGAGGTAGGGATAGGTAGAGAACAAGAGGAGGAGGCTGACTGTTTGAATCCTTCCTTTGCATCACAGCAGGGCTGCTATCATGCTGTTGTTCCCTTTGCTGAGTTTCATTACTCAAACAGTCCAAGCCTATGGATTGATGGCCAGCATCATGATACAGCAATTTGAGATTACTATAGTTTCTGACCTTGAAGTCTGTCTGGGCTGGTGGTGGTACCCACTCACTTAAAGGTGATCCATGACCCACAGGTTCTGTGGGGTTAACACTGGATGAACTGGGACAATTAAGTCCTAGACCAGACTTGATGAGGTGAACAGCATTTTTGGTGACCCAAGGCACCACAACAAAACCCACCATTAAAATTGGCATGTTGGCAGACAGATGAAGTTGAATAACTATGACAGTATTCCTTCTGCTACACAAACTAGAGCACTGCCTGTGACATCAGACTTCTGTGTGACATTTTAAAAAAAAAAAAAATTCAACTGTGTTTATTTTGTGATGTCACTGATGGTCACACACTCACTGATGACATCACAGTCCATACTTGTTTTATTTTTTGCCACTTGTTTATTCTTCATAGTTCTTTGTTATCCATTAATGATTACAAAGGATCAGTTGCACAATAAAGCGCAAACTCACACATCTTTAAACAGAACTGATGTTGTCACATTTAGGCTAACTATGATTCATAACTGGTATTTAACATTGATGTCTTATATTTCATTATCATTTACAAAATGCACAAAATCAAGGAGAACATACTGCTTTGTTTATTTACACATCTTTTTTTAATATTCATGGTTCCACAAAAGGTTTCTATAACATACTTTAAAATCAACCACTCAACGGAGAGAATAAGAGACAAATACCCTAACACTTTGTTAACTTTTCTCACAGTTGAGGCCTACTTAAACAATTAAAAAAATGTTTTATCTCCATGTATCTTCAAAAGACAATCTTGACTTGGCCGGGGCCAGAAATGAATAACTGAGACAGGTTACTGTTTTAACAGCAATCCTTGAACAAATACAGAAGTTATCCTGACATTGTTGTTCTTAATGGGTGATACGGGACAACATACAGAGAATGGGACTGTTAATGCTTAGCTTTTATATTTGTACAGTTAATGTGCATTTCTATACTGTCAATGTCCTTTTAAAAGGGCATCTCTTTATTTGCTGTCTGACTTACTGTCCATTTTTGCTTCTGAAGCTATTATTTCTTGCAGTTTGAAAACAAGAGTATCTGGACTCATAAAGACGAATTCTCAAAGTCAAAGACCTACAATAATAAGTCGAGTTATTCTTGTTTCCCATGACCAGTGGTTGAAAACCTACAAAAACCCACTGCAATATAGTTTCCTGAGGGTTTGAAGAGCTGAATTGATAATGTTATGTATAAACTAACAAAATATTTGGCAATAATTGATTTATTAACCATTAACAGAATCGTTAATTACCCCTTCTATAAATCCTCTATTAGAAAGTTATAGGCTACCTTTAAACAATTACAAAAGAAAAGTTTCACTGCAACGCAGGTAAAAGCTCGTGCAAGTGTCACGTGACCTCAGGGAGCCTATAGCCGGGAGAGTGTCTGGTCTGTCCAGGTGCAGTTGATCAACCTGAAGGCTGACGTCCGCGGAATCAGCTCTACGGCTCCTCACAATGTAGCTAAACTGTAATAAACTAACACGTTGACTTTTAGGTAGTAATGTAGATTTACAAAAACTCTTTTCTCGGTTCATTTCTCACCTGAGGACGGAGGAAGAGGAGACCTGCGGCTCATGGCTGTGATTGTAGTCGCTCTCATTTTGGTGTGCACCGGGTTATGGGACAAGACTTTCCTCACTGCCGGTAAGGATGTTCAAAATGAAACTTTGTTTACTTGAATTTTCTCAAACAGGATAGGTGTACACTTTGTCTGAAGCTCCAAATTAAAGTTGCTTCCGTTTTTCCACAGCTGTATGATTCACCTTCATGTTTTTGACAAACTTGTCCTTTATAATCAAAGTGGTCGCAGTCAGAGTTACGGGATGCTGGATAGGTAAATACCAGGTCAGTGTACATACGGTCAGTGTGTACAGCGTTTCAGTATCTGTCAGGCTGTCACATGATGTTGCTTGGTAACATGAGGACCAGGCCTGGACTTCGGACCCGGATGTGTTATTATGTTTGAGAAACGGTTAAAATAAACAAATAAAGCAAATGGAGAGTCAAGGAGGAACCAGAGAGAGCAGTCATGCAGGTGATTTGTGGGTCACGATGAGCGCATGCGCTGAATATGTTGACGAACAGGTCCATATTTAATGGGCCAGTGTTCTTTAGTTAGTTTGATGTATTTTAATTCTGCCCGGACAGAGAATCGATGAACACGACTCTGCTCTTTGCATTGAGCATGTCCTCAAACCGAGAAGATGATTCAGTACTTTTAAAAAACAATCTAAGTCAGCATTTTCTCAGCGCCAGCGAGGGTGAAAGAGCAAACAAGATCACCTTCTTGCTCCATTAGACACTCACTCTTTGTCAAAAGCAACACTAAAGCTAAACACACGGTCTTCTGTAGCTCCACACTGTATGCAAACTGTTTACATCCACAGGCTGTATGCAAAGCGTTTTCTCAAAAGGAAGCAAAGCCACTTCTAGGAATTTGCATAGTACTTGTGTTTGATCACATAACAAAGTTGAGCTGCATCTGCCCCAATACTGTCCTTGTTATGTGGACCAGGTGTTGGCCATATGAAATACAGTTTCACTTTAGTGTTTTATCTATTAGGTGCATCAGTTTTTAGTCCTTTTTAGCAGTCCTTGGTCTCAGGTTAACTCACATAAAAATGATTCCAGAGACTTCCACACAGTAAGGTGTAGCGATTTTAAATTTGGAAAGAAGAGAGCCCTAGTATGGGGTGTGTACTCAGTTCCCTGAATTTAGGGAAGTTTTGGGACAGAAAAAGTTGGATTGTTGGATCCCTAACATAAAGAAGACTGTGTAAACTTCCACTGTCTCTGTTTGTAGCTCAGACTTGTGTGGATGAGAGCAGGTTTAAGGAACAGATCGTCTACGTGGAGCCGCAGGGGCCTCCATATCGGCTGAAGTGCCCTGTAGAACCTTTTCAACCCCAGAGCTCCCCACAGCCCCGGGTGACCTGGCAGAAGGACTGTCAGCAGCTCCACAATCAGGAGGGGAGGGCCTACCTGGAGTTTATCAACCTCAATGTGGAAGACCAAGGGAACTACACCTGTATGCAACAAGGCAACAGCACAGCCTCATTCACTGTGCGTCTCATAGTTAAAGGTAAGTACTATTTATAGTACAGTGTAATAGTGTAAGTGCAATGAAGTCACTTAAAAGCTGACACTGTAATTGTGTGGCTCTCGTCGTAAGCTATTATTTGTCCCTGCAGTAAAATTAGAGTTTGTATGGGGAGTGAAGGGGCTAGTTGAAAAGGCTGGCTACAACATCAAGGTGGCATTTTGTTTCAGCGTGCCCTCCAGCAACTGTCTCAGGCTGTACCTGGCAGCTGCATATGAAGGCCTCTATTGTCTGCAGCTCCTGCAGTGAACACAGATAACAGTGGTATGTCCTTACACAGAGTCCCAGTGCTCGAAAGCCCCAGAATTTCAGCCTAATGGAGGCCTGAACAGACTGTGGAGCGATGTGGGATCCTCTGTGAAGCTCAACTGCACTGCTCTCCTCCTCTGGGACCCAAATAAGGAGCAATGTGGCACCACACTGCAGTGGAGTAAAGATGGCCAACCACTCACCAACCTCACACTTTACATGCAGAATACCTCCTCGTGGTGACTAAGCTTTTAAAACAGCAGATTTCAATTATCATGCTCAGGCTTTAATGAAAGTGTTTGAGAGTGAAGGTAAGATCGAGTTTTCTGTCCTGCTTACCAGGTCTCCTGCTGTCGGCCAGCTGATGGTAAACAGTCTGTTGGTGATTACACTCAGGGAGCTGGAAGATTTTGGGCTCTACAGCTGCACAGTGAGGAATGTTTCATCTGATTTCAGCCTACAGAATTCAAGTAAGAAAACATATCTTATATGCTGGATCTGCATTGTCTCATCCTGCATCTTGTGTCATATTGTCTAAAAGTGAACGTACAAAAGAATTTTACAAAGACACACACAAACCTAACAAAGCAGACAGGACAAAATGCAGCACAGAATATGTCCTGTATCTACACTGAAAATCAAATGAAACCACACACAGATACATCCTGTCTGTATAATCTCATAGCAGGGAGCCAGTGTTAAAAAGGTCAAAATCCTTGTGAGTCACAATATGAATTGATTGTAATTAATGTTACACATCTGTGAATTAATTATGCATTGAAAATGTGTTTTTCTTAGTTGCAAGGACCCAGTTGTTCAGACACACTCTACTAACAGAATCCCTCTATTGATCGGTTGATTATTATTATTTTTTTTTATATATATTTTTGGGCTTTTGTGCCTTTATTGGACAGGACAGTAGAGAGAGACAGGAAATGGGGAGGCAGAGAGAGGGGGAATGACATGCAGTAAAGGGCCGTCCGATGCGGGATTCGAACTGGGGCCGACTGCAGTGAGGACTGTAGCCTCTACATATGGGGCGCCTGCTTAGACCACTGTGCCACTCGACGCCCCTGGTTGATTATTTTATGCTTATTTTGTATTGTTTCTCTGTGTGTGCTCAGACAGACCCAGCCACACTGCCGCTGTTATCGCAGCCACTGTCCTCCTCCTCTTCCTGGCTATAGCTGCTCTTGTGTACTCCAGGTGTCACTTGAACATCAAACTCTGGTACAGGAACTCCTATGGAGACTATGAACTCAATGGTGAGTCTGCTGCTTGGTGACACAGCATACGATGGCTGTAGACGTGCAAGAATGCAGCAATAAAGCCAGTGTGTCTCTCTGTGTCTTCAGATGGGAAATTATATGACGCCTACATCTCCTATGTGAACAATGACTATGACAGGAAGTTTGTCAACTTTATTCTCAAACCTCACCTGGAAAATAAAAATGGATACAAGGTGCATCTCAATGACAATGACATCCTACCTGGTGGAGGCAAGTTCACACTATATTGTACTACATGTGCTATTTTACAATGATGAAACTATGTAAATACTCCTCTACACACTCCTGCCTTGTAGTTTTCTGGCTGTTTGTTCTCATTTTTTACCTGTAAAAGGACGTTTTGCAGTATATTGATATGTTGTTGTTTTTACCTGTTACTTTGGGTTTCCAATTATAAATTAGTTACTTAACACAACACACAATGTGTCTCCAGAACCTTCTGCAGAGCTGCTGATGAACGTGAGTCGTTCTCGGCGTCTCATCGTGTTGCTCTCTCATGCTTACCTCGAGCAGGACTGGTGCTGCAGTAACTTCAGGTCAGACTCACACAGACTAACTGAATTTATTATAGACAGAATAAACCTGAGTGAAACTGATGTGGCATGATAACAATGTACCACCTGAGGTCAGTGTTGCTGCCATATACTGCAGTTGCTTTTGTGACATACTGTAGCTGTGTGTGTCTTCAGGCAGGGCCTTCTGCACTTGTTGGAGATATGTCCGCAGCCTATCCTCATCATGTTGGAGGGTCAGTCCAAACGCATGAGGCCTGAGATCAAGCAGCAGCTCAGTGAGCACCAGCACGGCCTCACTGTACTCACCTGGAGACACAACTCTGTGGTAAGATCTTCTATAATACCTATTCTTTTAGAAGAGCGAAAGCTTTTTGAGCACACCTACAACAACATACAATGTGAGTAACTTTACACACCATTACTCAGTCCACTACAAACCAGGGAAAAAATAGAGACGGTCCAGTAATCAGACACTAACCGAAAACATTTCCAACTTCAAGCAGAAAAGTTTGTGTCCATGTATGATCACATCGCTCGTAGGGAGAGAATGATTCAGAAAACAGGGTCTCAAGGCCTCAAAGTAATATTGAGATTAATATCGATTTATTTAGTGTGGAAAATTATATGCCAGCAGTTGGGAGAAAGGAATTTGTGATTTGCTAATAAATCAGTTGGCAACAATAAATTATGAAATAACAATTATTACTCAGTGTGGAAATGTGTGAAATGAATCCACATTCATTTAGAAATGTACTTATACAGTAAAACATATTGTAATATGATACAAGCAAGTAAGGCTGTTTACAGTTGAGGAATAATTAATGCGTCAGTCTGACTCTGATAGCATGGTGTAATATATCATGTTGTGTCCCTGTGTGTTTGTGTCTACAGACTCCCTCCTCAGTCTTCTGGAAGGAGCTGGCCTTAGCGATGCCTCGCAGGGTCATTTTCCGCACTGAGCACGCAGGCGACCCACAGACAGTGCTGCAAGATGACAAAGACCCCATGCTGACCCTCGAACCCGACTACCTGGACTGCCGCTCAGACACTGACCCTGCTGGAGATCTGGGTAAGAGCAGCAGTCGCTGCACTAGTAAAGTCCTCAAGTACTAATGTTAGGTTCACTGCTCACTTAAAGATAAGATAAAGATATATAAAAAATGCCATTCATATTTTTTTACATATAAAACTTACTTAAGTGCAGTTGAACCCTGCTTGACCTAGTCTGAATCAACAGACAAAGATTTAACTAAAGTGAATCTCAAACTTCAATACCAGGAAATCATATCATATGATGAACCTGTACGTATCTACTGTACCAGCTTGTTTGTGATGTTTTGTATCCAATGACACATGTTATACAGTTCAAGATATTAGGAAATACGCTTATTTCAGTTGTTGTAGGACGTAAGAGTTGGATGAGTAGATCGATATCACTCTGATGAAGCTACACCCAGGAGATGGTTATCTTAGCTTAACACAAAGGCTGGAAATCAGGAAATAGCTGGCCTTAGTCCAAAAATAACAAAATCGACCTACCAGCATCTCTAGAGTTCCCCACCTAAGCATGAAAACAACAGGTCGTGGTTTAACATGAGGTTAGTTGCTGGACTATTTTTGTGGTGCAGTGACTTTTTGAAATCTTGTTTCACTGTGAGGCAATGAGGGACAGCCTGTACAGCCATACACTGTGTATAACCAAAGGCCGAAATTTCTTTTGAAATTTAGGAGAGATGAGACACTGAGTTACATAAAAAGTAACGACCTTTACGACCTTTTTTCCACCTTTCGTCTTTCTGTTGCAGGGCTGCGCCTCCCTGTGTACAAGGCTCTGGCCTGTACAGCTCCTGTCCTCCCTGCTGCTCCCATCACAGCCGCTGAGCCCAAATCCTCGGATATCGACGTGTCGGACTTGGGATCACGGAACTACGGGGCCCGCTCAGACTTCTACTGCCTGGTCACTGAGGAGGACATTTGAGCCACACTCCCCTCACTTCTACTGATCACTTAAAATGACCATCTACATGGAGATTCCCAGTAGCATTGCTGGGAGCTAAATTTATTTCTTTTCTTTACAATATGTTGTTAAAATCAAAATGTTACCTTTTTCTACTTCCATTCACCAAAAGAGAGGGGAGAGGGAGGTAAACTCACAGCCATGATGTCTCTGTCAGTCCCCAGCAGAGGGCAGAGTGATGTCAGATAATATGAAAGGAGCAGTTTGTTGACAGTACACAGATGGTTTGGAATGACTGAGAAAATACATGTGACAGACTCCAGAAGTCGGATTTTAACTGGGGCTAAATGATATGAGAAAAAAAGTAATTATTTTGACAGATATTCTGATTGTGATATGAGTCACAATTTTAGTTGAAATGGTAATTTTTGCATTTAATTTCACTGAATAAAATGTAAAAATTATGCTGATGTGATTTTTGTTGGGTCTGAACCAAACAAGCATGGTCCCTTATGTCCGGAGAAGATGAATTGCAGCCTGCAGTATCTCTGTTGCACCACAATGCTTCATTTATAATGGTATGTTGTGACACATTTTACTTTAATCGACAACTTGCATCTCCTGTCATTTAGATATTGCACTTGGCTGTATTGACATTTCAATAAAATTTTGATTAATTGTTCAGCCATAATTTAAACCTTGAAAACTTGACTTGTTTGCACTCAGGTCATTCGATACAGCACAATGTCCGAGTACAAAGATCTAACAGTTCTTGGCATCTCTGCTGTGTGTCATGTAAACTGACTGATAACAACGTGGCATTCATGCTAATAAAACACTTGTTAGCAGATTAATTCTCTCTGTAGGGACCGACGCTCTCTGTTCTCCCGCAGTGAAATAAGAGGCTAAATAAGGGTGCAGCACAGGTCTGGTATTGTTCCTGTCTGAGCAGGAGCAAATATGTAAACAGGGAGTGGCCGACATTTCACCGTGTTAGTGTCAGGGTGTTACATCTACGCAACATTGAATGCTGCAGCACACACACGAGAAATGCTTATAAAATGACATTTCATTTCCACATCTGTCTCTTTATTGGCTGAAAAATATCCAGATGATACATCTGCCTCTATACAACACAACAGTAAATATGAAAAGTCAGTGTTTTTAAACACCCACACAGAAACACACAATTACCATTTATTCCACAGAATAGTCATTTTTATAATTGGGTTTTTTTTTTAATTGAACGTTTTGCTTAAATACGAAAACAAGTTGCACAAAGAGTTTTAAAAGTATTCAACAGTCCAATGTCAAATAGTTCAAACAGTGTGTGAATATTGCAATTGGTCTCAAACAATAAACAAATATTGTATTTGTTTTGAAAACAAAGTTAGGACCGTATCCTTTCCCCCCATTTCACACACAGTATTTATAACATTAGACAGCAGATACAATGACATGTTAAAGAAAAAAAACTTTATGAGTTCTGTTTGACAAAGTGATTACAAATGACACATCAGCATTTTGTATGAAAAGACAGATTTCACAACTTTAAAAAGCACGTAGCTAAATACAAAAGTCAACTTTGAAGGTACAATCATTATCCCCAGATTTCTAAATCAAATGTATTAACATCCAAATTTCTGTTTTTCTAAATATCCTCTGGTTTACATTCAGTTATAACTATGTTACAATTTTGACTCACATATAAAGACATATTTATCTATCCAAAAACTACAAAAACAAAGTACATAGCTACAGTATACAAAATATTTCATCTGATTTCTGTGTAAGAGAGAAAGCATTATTTACAAAAAAAGATGCTATGTTAGTACCAGCCATGTTGCATTCATGCTGTTAATTAAGTGCAACAGCGAGAGGATAAGGCACAAATGTCCACTATATTGTCAATGAACAGTTTGACACTGTTTTTAAAAACGGCCATGGACCACAAACAGCTGCGGTTTCATCTGGAAACATGTTGCTCTGACAGAAAAGAAATCCCTGATTCCACGTTAAACCCACAGACAGTTCAAACAAAGACAGTAAATGGTTTAAGGTGCACACATATGTATCAGAGTCCATCAATAGTCCATCATACTGGATCCACGTTTCTTGCACTGTACTGATGTCCATTGAGTTTTAAAATATGCAGGATGTCCTTTCTGTTTTTTTTCCCATCAGGAAGATCCTCCATCACTTATGTGTTCATGTTCTTATCAGAAAGTATGGCAGATAAAGACTGAGCCTATGTTATCTTTGAATAGTAGAAAGAGTTTATTTACTCCTGCATACCTGGAAAGATTTCTTCCATAGGATGCAGGACTGATGGCCGTTTTATAAAGTGAACTTGTACAACATTACTTTTGTTTTAGAGAGTCAAATCTGCAAAATCCGGTCTTGTAAACCCTTTCTGTAAAGCAAAGAAGAGAAAGAGGAAGTGTTATGACATGGTATGGACATGAAACAAAAAAAAAGATGTAATTTATTTATTTAAGTATTAATTTAAGTCTTTATTCTTCTATTAAATATACTGCACACCACAGAGGTGTCTGTAAGCGTGAACAGCAGCTCACTCAAGGTTGAAATTTGACTTGGAGAGACGTCTGAGCTCACAATCCATTTCAGAGTTACGCAATTCATAGTTTGAATAGCTTCATTTTTTTGCACAAGTACATTGTTTGTCACATGAACTCGACCGATGTTGTGTGGGTATCTGATTATTAAATTCAAAACTAGAAGCAAGATGAGCATTAACGCATTTTTTGTTCTGTTGTGACTTGTTCATTAGGAAATAAGCTGAGTACCGCACCCATGGGAGGGGCAAGTCATGATCTGCGGAAGGCAGTAAACCTACCTAGTCCTGCCCAAGATGTGGACCTGCCTGACTGGGTGTGTATACGTGTGTGTGTGTGTGTGTGTGTGTGTGTGTGTGTGTGTGTGTGTGTGTGTGTGTGTGTGTGTTTGTGTGTGTGTGTGTGTGATGAAAGAGCAGCAGTGTGAGCAGCCAGAGATATATGAGTTTTGAACATATGCCATCCAACTGCCGAGGGAACTGCAGAGACTGAGGAATGTCATTCGTCTTTCTCTCTCTCTCACACACACACACACACACACACACACACACACACACACACACACACATACTTCTGTCTTTGGAGGTCACTCATTGACATTATGCATTCCCTTGCCACTTACCCTAACCCTAACCATCACAACTGAATACCTAAGCCTAACCTAAACAGAATTCTAACCACTCTAAGTAAACTCTAAAACCAAGTCTTAACCATTAAACAGCCCTTTGAATGTTTGTCGGAAAGTGAGACCAGCCAACATGTCCTCACTGATACTTTTTTTTGGTTCTTACACAGTAGCATTTACAAGTACACACACACAATCTCTGTCACTCTCACTTTTTTTTACACACACACACACGCACACACACACACACACACACACACACAGATACGAGAATGAGGGTGGGGCAGCGCCATGAAGAGAAAGCTTTTCCACTGAGCTGTGACTTGTGTGTGGCAGAGTCTAACACGTTGCTCCTGCCTCATGAAAAAGAATGTTTTTCATGTTGTAAATGTTTTGTACTAAACTGAGGACACCTGGACATGTTTTTGTCATTTTGAGGGTGCAACACTTTGGACAGAGTCTTTTATATCAGTTTTAAATGTGATTATATAATGTGTTGTCAGTGAGTTTCATACCTATTAAAATATAGAACCTTATGTTGTGGTTTGATAACGATAATAATCAACTTGATTTGTACAGTCTTAATTTCATCTGGCTGGATGTGATCAGAACCTGTTGCTCTCCTAAGATTAAAAAAAAGATTGAAAATATTTTAAAAACTGATGTTGTGTATGTTGTTGATTTTTATTCCCCTTGATTTTTTGACTGTATAATGATTGATCATGCAGAGCTCCGTTTCACTCATGTCTACAGTCTCTTACGTCTTTGTACTGTTTGTGCAGTTTCTTGTACTGGAACATGTTGCTGAGAACTGTGGCTGCTGCTTTGGACGCTTTCATCTTCCCAGAACTAGAAAGAAAAGATTAATTCAAGGTTAACACTCGGTAAAAATAACCTCATGTGAGAAGTCTGCAATAGTTTGTGTCACATTCAGCATCAAATGTCTGCAGTCTGCATCAAGGCAGCCAGTAGACACACATGTTGTATCAATTGTCATTTTAAAGAGCACTCACCTGCTGTCACGTGTGTTCTTGATGGCGACCAGTTTCGCCAGGCCGTCAAAGAAGGCGATGTCTCTGGCAGCTAAAGAGCTGCCGGTCACCAGGTTGTTGAGAACACCACAGATGTTGACCACCACCTCACTGGAGGGCTCCTTCTGGTGTCCGTCAGCAGGCAGCTTGGTCACCAGGTTGTTCACCACCTTTGTTGCTGAAGAAACCAAGATGTGTTGTTTGGATAATATGTTTAAAGGCCCTGAAAACCTGTTTTCACAATCAGCTAATTACCATCAGCGATGATATCCTATATGTAACTGCAATTTTCTGTCAAAGTTTGAATAGTTTTGGTTAATTCTCAAGAGATTTTCTTTGGTTTCTGTTTTCTGTCTTTTCTCACTGATTTGAAGAGGGCAAGACTCGGCTTGACAAAGGTGATGTCACAGATTTCTATGCACCAATCAGGATTTAGCAACTTTTGAATCAAAATCTAATGACGGTTGTGGTGTTGTTTGCTTTTTTGCTTTTGACAGAATGATTGATATCTGATAAAACAACACCCACAAAGTCCTGATCAAACAAACTAGCTCAAATTCTGAGAGTCAAATACTTTATAAAAAACCCTTAACAATATTTTCCCAGATTCAAATCTTGATTGCTGCACCTTTAGTGATAAATATTTAAATATAAACAGACGAATGTTTGATTCCATCATCCTTTGTATTCCAGATGTTCAAGTTTGTGTTTCTCGTCCTAAATTTTGGTGTCTGAATTTAAGCAATCCATTTTTTTTTGACTTGACTTCAATTATTCATTCAGAATTTGACTAATTTGACTTATCTGAAATTATGAATCCAGTAAAAAGAATACAGCATCAAACATTAAGTAAACAGTAGTGGTTATATCTCGCAATGAAGTATCCAGCTGCCTTTAAGTTTCAGATGATCATGGCTTATATTTGCTTCCATGTGAAAGAAAGTGAAGAGAATCAAAAAAGGCTACAACAGGCAACAGCAGTGTGTTAACTCACAATGCACCGAACTAGAGTTTGTCTCAAATGAGACACAACAACAACAGATTATAGACGTTCTGAACGAACCTGTGACTCAGAGGGATCCAGCTTTTTAAGAGGAAGGAAAAATGAAAGACTTACCCATGTCGCCCTTATCCCTGGCATGGCGGGACAGATTTCGGAGGAAGCCGGTGAGGGAACGCAGCTCCAGGTCATTGTTGGTACGTAGGAGGTCCAGCAGCACGGGCAGCATGCGCTCCTGCTCCAGAGCCACTCGGCTCAGCACCGACGCCCACTGCAGGACCAAGAGAGAAACAACTCGTATATGAGACAGTCTGAGGTCGCTGCATTTGAATGCTTTTACAGGAGAACTGATGAACATGCTCCTTACCCTCTTGTCTCCAGCTGTGATGTTCTGCAGAGCTCCAGCAGCTGCCTCGCGGGTGGTGGAGTTGATCTCACACTGATGCAGCACGCGGTTGTACACCC